TTATCGTCCATATTTAATTTGTATTAGTATAAGTTAAGTAAGAACGTTTTTATTTTCACACGTTTTTTTTTAAAATTATTATCAAGTAATTTTATTGTGGCCAAAAAATTCGAGGACACGCATTTTTTTTATTGCTTTTTTGAGTTCAAACGTGAATGAAATTTTATATTTAAATGAAGAATAACTTATAGTTATTTTAAATAACTTAATTTGTAGTAATTTAAAAACATTATTACGACTGACTGCCGATAGTCTCCGCTCAGAATCGTTTTTCGTATACAATGATATCATATCATTGCATTCAATTGTAACTCCATTCATTACAATAAGCTATTTTTAAATTTCTAATTTATATGCAACAGAGCAGTATCCGCCATTTTATCTGATAGTTTCTGGAAGTTCAAGAGATTTGACATCCATTGAAATTTTAATTAACAGGCGAAAAAAGAGGTAAATTTTCCCAGCCTTTATATACCGCAGTGATATAAATATATAATGTAAATAAATGCATGTAGACAAAAGTAGTACCTACTAAATAATAATACTGAACTTTCCAAAATAGTAAGATACGAGTAAAGCGACGAGAGAGTTAAAAATAAAAGCTAGATCGGTTATAAATTGCTAAAAAAAAAAAATTTTAATCAAGGCCATCACATTCGTTTTCATCGTGAGCGTTTGAAGATTACATTTTTATTTATTTAATGGACTTTAATTGAATCCTAGTCGACCAGTTTTTATAGTACAAATACTTGCCTCGCGGGAAACACTCTCAAGCCTTGTAAAAAAGTTGGATTTTGATAATTTTTTTTTCTTTAAATTTGAAGACTTACTATTTTTAGTAGTCTTAATAGACGTTTAGAACAGTATACCCTATACTTTTTTTCAATAGTAGTGCCTCACATTTTCAAGACGTTATTTCGTGTTGATAAACATGAAATTGCAATCCAGCTCAAACTAATTACCTGCAGGGCCGTATTCAGAGCAGGGCAAGAGGGCATGGGCCTGCAGGGGCGCATTACCGAAGAGTTCTAAGAGGGGCGCACATTTCAATACTATTTAATATGTAATATTCGAAAAACGTGTATTTATTTTAATGCCTTACTACAGAAGAGCCTCGCCCTATTTTTATTTTATAAAAATTATTTATGCTGATGCCTGTGATGGGGGGAATGCATACGCGAGTTTCGGCCGGTTTTCGTCCGCCGCCCGGTGCGCTCTTAGGCTGGACAGAGCACCCACGTATTATATTTATACGGATGATTCAATGTTGATATGCTAATCATATTCTCATAAAATATATTAGGTATGTATGTATTTATAGCATATAACTATTAACTACTGTACGTATCCAAAATGTACGTGTCCTGTTGTTCAGATATTAGGCGTTAGCAAAATGTCATTTAAACATCTATTAAACGGTGAACTACGTAATTCTTAAAATAGTATTATCGTTTTGTGATATCGGCCGTCGGGCCAGTCGTATTATAATCTTTCTTCAAATAAAACCATCGACAAATTATTATATTGTCAACTACAGGAAAGATATACAAAGTACAGTACACTCGAAGTACAACGGTTTTATTTTCTGTTGAATTGCTGCCGAGCGTCGACGTAGTTTCGTGGAACTAAAATTTAAGTGAGTACAATGTTATGGTAATTCATTTTTCTAGCTTTTAAGCACTCACACTCGTACGAACTATAATATTTAAGAAGAATAGTTAAATTAATTAAGGGTCACGGTGCTGGTTTTCCAAAATTTCCTCAATTTTGGGTATAAAATTCAAAATCTTTTTTTTAAAAAATTAAAAAGTATTGACTAAAAAATAAATGCATAGAATTCCTAGTATTTCTATCATTTTCGCCATACTCATAATTCAACCTCTTCTGAATAGGATAGGTAGACCAAAAACATAATGACTTCAAAAAAAACATTCTGCAGGTTTGAGAAGGAAAGAAGCAAAAAAAATTAGACAAAAAATTGGCAACCCATATGGCCAATTAGTGAATTAAAAACCTTAACAATGAAAATCATGAAGAAAAAAATCCTAGCGCAGCACTTGAATCAACATCAAATAATGCACTAAACCTAGAAGAGAATATTAAACAACAAACTGTTCAAAAATATTTGTTAATTAATACAAAATGTGTTACTGACCCTGGACATTGGCTTAACTCTTAACAGCTAACAGATAAAATTTGAACTTATATTATTGAACAGAAACCGTATCATATTGACGTAAATCATTACTTTCCATCAAATTCAGATGGGAGGCATTTTGATGGTAAATGGTTTTTTAAATATTTACTGTATGGTGAAAAATGTGAGAAGACAATGGTTAGTTTCTTTAAAAGATTTATATCCGAATTTAGAGGGTAGCACTACCTACCGATACTTTTAACAATTCCTGTCACTACAGCTACGTGTGAAAGGAGTTTAAGCAAGCAGAAAATCATAAAAAATTATCTAAGATCAACAATAATTCAAAGTCGTGAATGTCATCGATCAATTTGCTTCAATTAAATCGAGAAAAGTACCTTTGAAATATTGTATAAAAATTATAAAGTTAAAATAAATTTTAAATTATTAAACACAATTGTAAAACAAACCTTTTGAAAAAGATTACTATTGTTTATGTATGTTTAAGTAATATAAATACATTAGTATAAATTATTAAAGGTTAATTGTTATCACTTGATATATGCTATGTATTTTTGCATGTTTTATATTTTTCAAACTAATGCAAATTTTTAATTTGGGGAAGGCGCAAATGCAGTGATGGAGGGGCGCCACCAATACGGCCCTGATTAACTGTATGCTTTCCATTTTCTAATAAAATAAAAATAAAACAAATCCTATTGTTCCAATTTTCCTTGAAATAGTTTAATTGTATTTTTCTGTGTGGCCACTACACAACGTAAGACTGGCGTGGATGGTGCATCTATAAATATGAAATTGTTGAGGGAGGGGGATATATTTAAAAAAAAAGATATTATTATAATTATAGTAATTAGTAGGTAAGTACCTATATAATTTATTGGTTCTATTATCATGTATCTATAGGTACATATGATAACGTTATAGATAAGAACTGATCGCAATATTAACATTTTTATTTATATTTTACATTTATAGATTTTAAGTCGCATGAACTATTTATTAAATAAATAATACAAGTACCTAATGTATAACATTTTCAAAGAGGTGGGGGGTAGGGTGCTGAAGCTCTACTCCCTTGGATTCGCGACCGACGTAAGACGGAACTGAGAACTGCCTGAAGCTTATAGTTTAAAGTTACCCCTTGACAAATGGCGATTCCGACACCCTTAAATAGTATATTTCATAATCTCAAAATCGAATATTCGCATATCTATAGTATTTCAATCACAGTAATTGTTAGTTTGTGCGGGAGCCCTCAAGTTCACAATTTCAAACGTAAATAATAAATTCATTAAATACCTGGTTAATACAAATTAAATATTTACAAATTACAATAGACATTTCTCACCTAATATGACATCAATATAAATAGTAAAGTATTTTTTCTTTGTTTAAAATCGTATAGTTAAATGGTACAATATATATAAAGCTATAAAACTAAGACTATCAACAATCACTAAAATCATCATCTAACTGATATAATAAGTAATGCAAAGTCCTATACATTTTGAAAAGTCTATCTTTATTTTGTTCTCGCAGTAGCCAATGTTTAATTTTTTTTTTTAGAATCTTGATAGAGTTACTACATGTTTAATGGTAATATAGGTATTGTAATTTTTTGTACCGATTTAATATACAAGTATATAATATTATGTGGGTTGTGTTAATTTGCTGTGCATGGTTGGTATACCTACTTTGATATTAGATATGTGTCTTGTATATATTATATCAGTGTACAGTTTTAAAAGTAATATTGTTTATAATATTATATTAAGTACCAAAACTTTATAAAATATATTTTTTTCTGTCAGTACATTTATATCGTTGAATATTAAGTATTTTGCGTGGTTTCTTGTGTATTTGTTTATGGAATAATTTTTAGTATTTTATTTGGTATTTTTTTTTTTTTTATGGAACTTTAGTTGTTTCATACTTAGATACCTTACCTGTCACCATACAAAAACACCATAATTAATTTTAGATGTAATCAATGCTTGATACGCCACTATACGTTACAAGTCAATACTATAACTAGTATAACTAAGTATACCATGCTAACAGTGTATATATTTTGTGCGCCCATCTAGTCGGCAGTTTAAAGGTCTTCCATTGGGCTTTTATCATAATTTATTGTTTGACGAAACCGATCTAAAAACTAGTACAACATGATATTATTTTCTAGTAAACAAGTTCTAGTAACTAGTTATAACAATAATTTTTAATCAACTGCCTATACTTACCTACACTTGCGATATGCTCAAGCGCTGTTTAATAAAATAAATAAACAAGCTATAGCGTAGGTACCTACCCAATATATATATATATATATATTTATATGTATACCTATAAAACAGCATTATTAGGTACCTATATACCTACACTCTGAAGTATTATTAAGTTATACACTGGCGACACGCTATGAGCAAAAAAAAGAAAAAAAAATTGTAATAATAATGACAAAAGTGTTAACACAGTGACAAAAAACGACTACAGAGAATTATTTTTCCTATGGGCATGTTATAATGTACGCGACCGCGAAAAATATCATGTTTTCGGTAAATCGTACATGCACGAGAGGTACATAATAATAATAATAATAATAATAATAATAATTATAATATTATAATATTTTCCGGCGTTGTGTTCGAGCGGAGAAAAAATAGTGAAATATATTTTCGCCGATTTTCGATAGACGTCTATTTGTTGTCGCAACAAGCACACCACAGTGGCTCCTGTGGCGCGGACGACATTATTACACCTATTATATTATACTAAGTACCCGTAGCCATGTTTTAAAAAATATTATTATTTGACTTGTGTTTTTTTCTGTCCGTCGATAAAGTTCAGCGGTCGGAGGAGGAGGCGGTACAGATGGAATCGCTTTCGGACGACAGTAAGAGACACGGTCGTGGAGACTCACAGGACAACGACGAATACGACGAGAATGACAAGCTAATAATGTGCCGCATTTGCTACGACGGTATGTGCATACCATGTTATACTAAACTATGATGTCCAGTACTGAGTAGTAATTAGAGCCGTTTTCTTCCACCGTCCATTTTCTCTCTCTAAAAAAAGCAAAAAACAATTGATGTTGACTGTTTTCCTCCAATGAAATAATTATGGATGTAATAAATATATTTTAGTCACATATGATGTACTATCCGAGATCAAAAAATGTTGGACCAGGGTGGCCTACAGGATACGATCATGAATATATTGTTAAAATATTTAAACATTCAGTTAAACTAGTCGAAGGTCTAATAGGTTTCAGTACCATATTAAGAAACATGTTTACCTGGGACAAGATTGAGACGTCCCACAAATATTATTCAATCGCATAAATATTGATCCATTTTATTTTTATGCAATTTAATTGATCATCTTGATGTTATTTTTATTGAAAAAACATTTATACCCATTAAACTCAATAAAATATAGAAATATGTATAGGGCATATTGCAGATATGATAACTTTAAAATGACATTACCTATAAAAGTGTCCGAAAAGATAAAATATCTATTAGGTAGTTACGATCAATAAAATTTAAAACTTTTTTATACACATTTTATGCATATTGTTATATTATTATACTTAATACATGGGTAATACTATTAGATAAATATAATAAAAATTGCCCAAATAACAAATTTTGACCAGAAACTCAATTAGGTACTAATTTTTAATACCAAATAGGTAGGTACATTTTTTAATCATAAACAACATAACGGCATAATCAATATCTTTAACTCTACCAATTTAACTGTACAATTATGCAAGGCTGGGCAAGTTAATGATATTTTTTAACTCAGTTAAGTTAAGTTAAATTTAAATTTAAATCAAGTTAATAGTTAAAAGTTAATTCAAAATGTTTTATCAATTAAACTAATTTAAGAGTTAACCAAAATGTAATATTAACTTTTTAACTCAAGTTAAGTTAAAAAAAGTTTTTTTTGTTTTCATATAGGAAAAATTAAAATATTCGTACCTAAAATTGTTCATGTTATTACACCAAAGAACTATTATTATTTTATGTGTTCAAAAAGCTAACAGTACTATACGGAAAATGTAGACTGATACCAGATTGTACAAACTCGAAAATGGTCGCGTTAGTTTAACCTAACCGCGTCTTTATATTTTAGTCGAAATCGAAGTATAGGCGAGTATAAGACTGAGTAGCGTATTTATTTTTATACTCATTCAGTGATTACTGAATACTGAATACTTATTAGTAGTTATTACTAATAAACGATAATTAGCGGTAGGCCTGTATGGGTTGTTAGATTATCAATAAGACAAGAACACGAACCGCGATTAAAGGTATTTTTCATTTTTTCACCGTGACACGGACTAATATAATATTATAATAAAACCTGGAAATGACAGTATTAGTAGTTGTAAACTTGTAACTGATATGTAATAATATGTATCCATATCGAATATAGAAACATGGTTTAACCACCACTAGTCACTAGGCATCCATGAGGGAATTCTAGATTTCGGTGAAATCGACGAAAACGTCGAACTAATAATACATTATACAAAAATAAACAGGGTATTACACTATTACCACATAACTGTCTAGTCTGTCTAGCGTTATCTTCTATATAGATATTAATTCTTAATAATAAGTATAATATAATAATAATAATGTATAAAACAAATATAATATTACCAAAATAGTTTATAATAATTCATAGGAATATCTGTAGCTATAAGTTATAACCACCAACTGGCGACGATGGCAAAATAACAGGCATTGATAATATTCGTAATTTCATTATATAGGTATTAAAATTTTACATGAATTAAAAAAATTGAAAACACATTACATAATAATTAAAATTAAAATTAACTTAACTTGTTTAAATGTAAAATTAACTCAAGTTAATTAAAAGTTAATTTAAATGCTCCTAAAGTTATTAATTAAGTTAATAAACATAAAAAAAAAAACTTATTAAGTTAAAAAGTTAAATTAACTTAACTTTTTAACTTAACTTTAACTTATTAACGCGTTAATGCCCAGCCTTGCAATTATGTAACAATAGTCCTAAGTCTGAAAAACAGGATTGAAAATATTGACCTTGCAAAAATGAAAAAATGTACGAATGCACATAAATGAATAAAAAAAATATTTAAATGCACACAAAATATGGCAGGGCAAAAAATATGTACATCAAGAATTAAAAATGGGACGCAATATAGCTTACAGTAACTCTAAATAAAACACAAATCTAAAAATAAAATAACAGTTTATAATATCAAACAACTGCAGGTAAAAGGCATTGTGGTGATTTTTTATTCACAACTGGTAAGTTCATGTATGAATATGACATTTTTTGCGTATTATGGTCAAAACAAGGATTAAAAAATATCCAGTTTAATCTTTTCCCAATATAAGACACAAATATTAGAATTTCTCCGTTTTACCTAGAGTTTCCTATATATTACCATATCAGTGGACGTCATTTCAGAGTATTATGAAATTATTTACCGACAGCCATAATGAGCCAAATTAGAGTCGAATAAAAATTATGGTGTAGTTTATACGACATGGAAACATAACACAAATTTCTATCGATAACAGTCATTTTTGCAAAACAAGTACACATTATACAATGGGAAAATATAATAATTAATATAGGTTTTTTAATTTAAAATGATTTAGCATGCGGAAATTCGTAAAACAAGTTAAGAAGAGAATAAACACAGTCAAAGCACAGAACCCATAAATAAATTATATTTTTCAAAGTGATTAAAATAATTATTGTACTTAGTGGAGGTTAGAAATGCATAAAAGAAATTTTACAAAAATATATAAATGTATAATTTTTATCGTTTGTAAATGTCAAAAGGCATAAATATTTTAATATTTGTGTTGGGAAATCGGGTATCTAACTTGTTCTTGAAAAACAAATATGCGAGGGTAGGTACCTAAGATTCCTTTGGGCTTTGCATCCCACAAATCATGCCTCTACGCACAATTTAATATAATAATATAAACCTACTTATGCCCGATTAAAACATAGGTATTATATTAATATAATTATTGCATAATATGACAAAAAGTATAAAATAAAGGTACCTACTAAAGACAACGTCTACACGTGTTGTACGTGAGTGGTATAATATTTGTTCGAAAAATAAACAACTAGGTACAAAATATAATACCAAGTTAGGTTATCAATAAGTGTGTTCTATTGTTCTGTGCAGTGAATAAAATATTACAATAATATTACGTTATTTAATGAGTCCGTAATATATTTGACGTTCTTACTGCATGACATTACATCAACCTACTTATTTCGAGATCAAATATACAATAGGTACAGATTATCAAAATAATAAACACAATAATTGTACAAATATATTTATCATTTTATTATATTGATCGATTATACAAAACGAAAAAAAAATGAGAATCAGTGGCGCACACGTTATGGGTCAAGGGGGTCAGTTGACCCCCTAAAAAAAATTGGGTGGTGGGTGGTGGTTGACCGTTATTATAGCCTTAAAGGNTACAGATTATCAAAATAATAAACACAATAATTGTACAAATATATTTATCATTTTATTATATTGATCGATTATACAAAACGAAAAAAAAATGAGAATGCGGTTGTATCATTAAACAGGTAGTTTCATTGCCTACAATCTACATTATTATCTCTCCGATAATCGTCACAACAATGAGCAAGTCCTCAATGCTATAAAATAATTGAAAATGGCGCACAAAAAATATTCTGAATAAAACTATACACTTTTTTAAAAAATATTTTTGTAATCATGTGACATGAAAATTAATTAGACGTATTTCATAATCATCGTAATAATAATTATCGTATTATTACACACGATCGTAATAAATATGATTCCTAACAATATAACATTAGACATTAACACTAGTAACGACTGTTGAATAATAAATTACAAAAAACAAACACAATGTAATTACATGTACATTAACCGTAGTTCCTAATTACAATCCTGGCTGAAAATTACGTCATCTTTATGACTATATTGTATTAGTAAAATAGTTGTAGGGGGCTCACATTTGTAGATATGGGTTTGGTTTGCAAACAAATTTTGATCGATATAATTGGTACTGCAATTACAAAATATTTTTCACGAAAGTGTGATCAAAAATACGAATTATGAAGAAATACAACATACTTGACAATAAATTATGAGGGCACAATATTTAGTCTTTTTATGGAGTGTAGCACTATTTTGTAATTTAAAATTGTTTTAAGCGCGTAAAATGTACCAGAAAATAAACATTTTAATGTGGACTGCCAATTCTAGTGGAAGCATAAAAAATAATTTCAATCTGACTATCCACTAACCAATGATTATTCTATAGTTATTTATGCCATGATATTTTTTTCTGCATTAAAATTTCGACTTTAAATTGTTTGGAAAATTATAATCATGCAATAATAAATGACCAAATAGACATTTCTGTGTCTATAGTGCAACTTGTCTTATAACGATTTTCAAAACTAAAACACGGGCGGTCTCCGGAGCAATTAAATCTGTCCATTTTCGGTGTACATAAATGCACATTCAAACAACGTGCTTAGATATTTCTTGATTTTTAGAGCATATAAATCCAAACCCCGCGAGTAGATATAGGTAACATATAGTTTGTTGATTATCGTTCAGAACTTATCAGCAAAGATCACATCGGATACATTGTCATATCGATTACTTGCATTTGTCCGTCTCCGTATAGTCTTAGCAGTTCAGTAGGTACTGATCTACCAAAAACCGTGTCATCATTGTTCAGATTTTAATAATATATTATATTATTGTATCAATTGCTGTTTTGCAGTTTTTTTTTTTTGTCTTTCGCCTCGAGCAGGACACATTTAACTGGTACGTATTATTATTATTATGCATTAACATTTTTTTTTTCTATTTTCGCATTTCAAATGAATGTAGTGTAATATTATTGTGTATTTTTAATATAGGCCGACGCTGTTTGTAAAAAAAAAAAATATGTTTTCATATAATATGTACAATTATTATAGGCCCCTATCACCTGTTGTTGTTGTGTTCATATTGCACATAACCGTTATATTATATTTTATACCCAAGTATCTATACAGGGCGATTCACAAAGCATGCTCACTCCTGTTTATTCCTTAAACAATGCAGTAATTCAAAATCTATTTTTCGGTAATTTTTAATATACTTAAATAACTTATTTTCAAATTATTGATGTTTTTCGTATATCCTACTTAAGTAGTACCTATCCTGTAGCCAGATTTTGAATAGCTGCATTACTGAAACAAAAAAAGGGGCGATGACGCTTATATAGTGAATCACTCTGTACCTATATACATATTTTGCCTACTTTGTACTAGCATATTTTAATAACAAGTAATAACTAATAATAAATTAATAACGAAACGCGTTCAAGTAGGCACCATAATACACATATTATACGTATAATAGGGTAGGCACCTTTTTTTGTAAAAACGTCACACTTGCAGTTTATATTCCACGCTTAGTGAATTTAGTGTTTTATACGGTAGTGATGCTGCAAATGCAGTCTTGTAAATAAGTACTTGAGTAAGATTTTCAAATGCATTTTTAGTACTCTATACGTATTGTAAATACTTTTTCGAAAAGTTCTTGAACAAAGTATTTCAAATACCCTCCCAAAGTATCCGTACTTAAAATCAAATATCAAATTTCAAATACTTATTTGTTTGAGTGTATATATTTTCTATTTTAGTTTAAATTTTAAGTATAATTAAGAATTTTTTTTTTTTTATTTTTTTTACTGTGAATTTATACACTCAACGGAAAATTTTTTTACTCGGACAAAAAATGTGTACATTTCGACAATCACGCCAAATAATATGTGGTGTAAAATGCTCTACAGATAATTAACTTATAACAATAGAAAATCAGGTTCTGCAGATTGATTTTGTAAAAAATACAATTATAAAAAAATTAAAAGTAGTTATTTGAAAGTATTATTTGTATTCAAATACTTTTTGTCCTGGGTATCCAGATACGTATTTTAAATACTTTTCAAAATAAATATCTGTATCTGTACCTATACTATTGAATACTTTAAAAAAGTATCTTTTGCAAGACTGTACAGAGATGATTATAGTTAAACATTACAGTTTATGAACTCATTAACGCTCTTTGTGATGTGTATGTCGTGTAGATGATAAGAAAGAAAGCACAGTATCGCCGTGCAACTGTGTCGGATCGCATGCACACGTCCACGTGACGTGCCTCGAACAATGGCTATCCGTATCAAAATCGAGTAGTTGTGACATCTGCAGCTACACTTTCAAGACAATCGAACGTTCTTTGACCGTAAACGAGGTAGGTAAACTAGCATATTATAACATACCATAATATTATGTACTCACCTAATTATAATATGCACCAAGACAAAACATCAAACGTACTGTTATTATATTATTAGTTCGACCCTTTGTTTATTTTGAACGTATCATATAGGTACCTATTGACCTATTGCCTACAACATCGGAGTCAACAAAACCAACGGGACGTGATATTATTATTACATGTTCGGTTAGGTTATTATGTAGTGATAATTTGGATTCGAGTACCCCATAATTTACAACAAATACAATTTTATTTTAAAATTTGCGTGTGCGTCTATTTTTGTATTCATTCATTTAAAATGATATAATAAATGGTTTTATGGTGTATTCCATAAAAACAAACATTATTATATAATTACCTATAAGGCTATATCTAGGTATCTAATAGGACGATTGTTTCTTAATGTTTTTAGTTTATTTTTAATTTATCAGTGCTCGCTTGATAAAACAAAATTTTAATTCACCAAGCCAATATACGTTTCAATTATATTATACTGCACAATTGATGATGTTGTTTATAAAATGTTTTTGGAACTGCAATTAATATCAATGTCGGTAAACTGTGAAATAAATAGTACTAAATGGACGTATTATCAGTTGTGATGTGGCCGAATCTATATGTAATCACAGTACGGACCGAAATCATTCATACTTATTTTTTGCCAGAGAGAAGTGAACTTTTTTGAACTTTATCTAAATCGGCAAGTGTCTTTTTTATTGACTCTTATAAATAATTTTTTCTTGAAATTCAATCAAGTCCCGATTGTTTTTTTTTCATAATTTTTTTTTCCGAGAAACTTATAATTATTGTTACATAAGAAATTAGGCATTGTACTCTTCTACAAAATAAAACTAGTTCTTTAAATTTTAACGAAAAAAATCCACGAGACCATTATTCGACCAATCGACAGTAAAATTAATCACAAGTGAAAAGTCACAGCTAATGAACCACGAAAACATATTTTTAACGAAGCTCGAATGATTAAATATCAGTAAATAATGGTACGTAGGTATTGGCGTGGGACATGGAACTACATCTTTATACATTTTACAGATTCTAATCAGAGTAATGAACGACGTGTTACTTTAACAATGTTGTGTTAAGTTTTTGTGTGTCCGCGGTCGTTACTTTTTGCCTGTTGGAACAGTAAGAATAACATAATCTTCAACACTACTTTGAAAGTGGTTTCTGCCAGTGGTGTAGTTATGGTTAGGATCCCCCACCCCCAAAGCTTATATTATAATACTTATGATATTATCTGTGTGCCAACCATATGTGCCTATGTTAGATGTACCACATGAAAACGTGACCTCAGATAACGAAGAAGTAATAGACGACTATTAAATATGTCTCAAAAAATATATCTCGTTTTATAATATTCAGAGTGTTCAAGACTCCAGCCCCCCCCCCCCCAACTAAAAGGCCCAGTTACTCCTGAAGCCATGTAGCTATACATACCAACTGTAGTCTGTAGTAGTGTACCTACCTACATAATATGTATCGCGAAAAATCCGACAGTATCACTGTCATTAGGCACACACCTATATTATACGATATTCTAATATATTATTGTTGCAGTTTACAATCATCGTACAAAAATGTCAATATTATGTTTTAAAAATTATAATGATCATCGACGCTCATCGTCAAACTGTTGTTTGTGCACAGTGGCTGCGGGAGAGAAGAAACTGCCAAGGCTTCTGTCAACAGTTCACGGTCATGTTATTTTTCGTATCGATATGGTGTTTAGTGCTCATAGCCTGTGGAATGAAAACGATTGAATATTTCCTAGACACGAAAGACAAAAATTCATTTGCCAACGGGCTTCTCATGTCTATCATAACGTTAGCAATGGCTGCCATGTTGTGGTTTTGGCTCATCATTTTTTCATCGTCAGTATTTAAAAACAGCACATTCCTACCTATAATAATACCTGCTGTATATAATATTATCGGCGCCCGGATTTATATGCAAACTTTTATATTCTATTTGACTTAAAACAATTCGGATTAAAACGATATACGTTTCAAGATATTATGTAGATTCAAATGCTAAAATGTGCTCGCATATTTTTGCATGTTTCTGAATAAAAAAAAGTACCCATACCAAAGTGCAGTTATCGTACGTACCATCTATTTTATAATAAGCTCATTTTTTTTTTTTTTTATACGAGCTACCATACTATAAGTACCAAATATTATAGCTAAAATGTATAATATGTCTTTGCATGTAAATCCGGACCATATGAACTTAAAGACAATGGTATCATATCTTACGCCAAAATCCGCCTTGAAACACGTTATTATTTACAGGATATGGAAACGTATTAACATGGTGATACGCTTGGACAAGAACTATTTAAACGGAGCTGATGATATCAACAATGCGTTTGCTGTCTGACCAGCCTGGTTGGCTAATTTATATTTTATAATATTAAGATTAATTACTACTTAATTATTGTTTATTTTTTTCTTATAATATAGTTGAAATGTATTATTAATTACCTATTGTAAACAATATTAAATTCAAAATATATGAATAATCATGATACATAATTATTAACTAGGTAATAATCATTATAGGCGTAGGGTGTAGGTATCTAAGTTAACCTATTTGAGTTCTACCGAAAAATCATGTAAAACAAAAATTATGAATTGAACTATACATATCAATATTTAGGTAGGTAGGTACCTAGTTTGTATTTAGGCTCTGAGTGGATGTTCCGTCCATATTGAGAAGAGCTTTAAGTTCTACACCATTCAAAATATCCAATATCTATACGTATTACGGTCTATAAGCTTGTTTTGTTCTGGTTCAGTGTTTAATGAAATGGTATGTATCAATGAAATTACGAATGGAGTAAAACAAAAAACCAATAATGTGATGCATTTATTGATATTTTGATAAAAATAATGACCACAGGGTCTAAGAAAAATGATGAATACTAAAAAAGAAACCCTCCTTTTAACACTATTATTAAATTAATAATTTGCATAGGCATAATTGTGAGAGTGCTGATACTCTGAAGCGTTTATTTATTGATACAGACTTTAAATCTCTTTTTCTAAAATATTTGGCTAATGCATTTTCTCCTAGTCAAGCAATAAAACAGAATATCTCTAGAATTAATATACTTCCAAGTTCCAAATTATATAGTATCATTGGCTAAACGTGCATAGAACCCAAGACCTTGGACTATATATAAACCGTGGAATTAATATTTAGAGTAAAACTACTGAAGATTTGATGATCATTTTGAGAGATTGAAAGTAAAAATCCTAGATTATTTGAACCAAGGTAGGTATTAGTCTTGAGTATTATATTAAAAATGGTCAAGTATCGTAACTAGATAGTAAATAACACTGTCCTTAATAATTTGGTATTATAACATATTTCATAAATTTATTTTACAAGTTAAAATATATCTATATACTATACTATGTTAGGTTTAATCTTATTTTATTTGGAAATTTAAATTAGATATACTTAACACAGAAATATTATTATCAAATTAATGGTCCTTTTTTAAACCTTATTTTTTAAGTCAGTTTCTATATAAAAATATTCCATACTTCATTAATTCTTATACTTTCATATTTTATAAATTATACCTAATGATATTGAGTTAAATATTTTTTTTTCAAATGTGTTGAAATTTAATTATCTTTAAATAATATTAAAACCATAAAAAAAACTACAATAAATGTTTAAAAAGTACTAAACTATTATCTGAATACATGAAATATAATTAAATATTTTCCTTAAAATTATAGTTATATTTATTATAAGACTGGAAGAAATATATTTTTTCTTTAGTTTAATGTTAACTATATAATGTTATGTTTAATTCACTAGTGTTGTATAAATAATTAAAAAATAAGATTATGCTAAATATACTAAGCATTTTATGAATTAATAATTCATCAAACTTCAGTAGCTTCTACTTTCTAGTCAATATTTATGAATTGTATAGGCATAACTGTTGTAATGGATAAAACAGATCCATGGATAGTCATTGTTGTAACCCTATTAAATGAAAGATCTCAAAAATTGAAAAATAGTTCTGAAATCATATTTATGGATTCTACTTCTAGATATGATATGTCCATGACAACTGTTACTGTTCTTTTAACAGCTATAAAGGGGGGTGCCAATTGAGGATTTAGTTCATAACTAACAAACAACTATGGCCTATGAAAAAGGATTTAAAATGCTGATGGATAATTTTCCTTTGTGTTTCAATGGATTAACAGTAATAAATTATTCATTATGTATTCCAAATATCATTATTAATCTTATAAATATTTATTAACATGAAACATGCATTTATGCTAAATAAGACCAATTAATAGTTATAATACACTTATGTTAATTTTGTATATTTTCCTTTATTTATTTATTTCATTATATAAAGTATAAAATATGTTTATTTAATACAAATTAAATATTCTCATATTCATAGTTATAACTAGAACATAAATTATGATTAAAACAAATAGTTGAAACAATTATATAATATATATAATTATTATAATATTTATTAATAATAATATATTATAATTGGGTACATTAATCAAAATTAAAAATTTAAGACCAAAAACATATAATGTAATACATACTAGTGTACTATTAATATGCTCGTAATAATATATTTGTAAACAATGTTATAATTCTGCAAACAGTGCTGTAGACAGAATTTTCTTTTTTTTTGGGGGGGGGGGGGAAGGGCTTAATTTTTTTCTCAAGTTTTTGCAATTCTTCTCATCTACTTATGACACTTCTAAGTCTAGCCAAATTACGGCATTATTACCTAACATTTCAACTTTTTTTTGAGGTAACAGCAATATTATATTATATTAATAGTTTCTACATTGTTTTCTTTGTGATTATTATTTGAAAAGTCTATTAATTATTATTTTATTGTGATCAATATGTTTAGGTAAATAGTAATGTGACTTTTGATTATTGTTTGTTAGTGTGTATTACATTCACGATCATTGTGAATGTTTTATTATTTGACATTTGTATATTGTTTTGTACAATTTACTTACAGCTTTTATCCTTAGTAAATAGTAAATACAAGTATAAACACCTTATATGGCTAAGTAAGTTATAACATAAAAGTAACTTTTATTCGTTAAATAATCGAATAATACTTTTAAATTATTATATTTCATTGCATTCCTTATCGAAAATACTAGGATGGATCTGTTTTATACTAAGTTAAATAGACTAATAAATAATAAAATTAAAAACACAAAACTGCATTTTTCTCAGAAGTAATATATTGGATTTAAGGTTCTTTTCCTTAACAGGACAGAATACAACAATATGTGTTGTAAACATAAGTAAAATTTTATTTTTTGTTTGATTATTATTACGATTTACTTACAATAATACTACATTAACTTTTAATTTTTATCAAACATAATATAATATAATATAAAACAAGACAACAAAATTGTTTTAAAAATATTTCAGGTATCCCCCCCCCCTCCTGGCTATGGCACTGTCTGTACATATTATGTATGTAGAAGGTATAAGTATTATACGTTTTTAAATGTTTCAATAAGGTAAGTACTTAATTATGAAAATACATCATTTAAAATTTAAGTTCAGTCCGCCACTAATTAGGAGTTTGTACTTACCAACTAATTTAATTCAATGCATCCATAAACTCATAATGAATAAAAATATGTAGATATATTTTTTTTATGAAACCTTCTAGTAAAATGGTAAAATATCTACTTGATTACCTACAAGCTAATATTTTTAATTAATGTTGATATTATGAATTATTGACTCAATCATTTTTGCAGGTTATAAATTACGTAATACAGCAACTATACAACTAACTAGATAACTTAAGCATAAGATCAGTAGATACATTTTATGAATATTTTTATAATAATTACCTATACTGAATAATATTTGGAATTTTCTTAATTTGTTAAAATTTATTTAAAACTGTTTTCCTTTTTAATGTCTTATAATTATGCTTGTTGGTTTTTAGGCTCTTAGTAGCACAAACATGTCAGGTATCCACATTATTGATAGACGATAGTAAGTTCTAGCATGGTAATTATAGTAATTACGAATTGGAATAACTTAATGATTCTATTTCACTTTATTTAAACATTACTTTTAATATTTAATCAATTTATGAAATACATATTATGTACCTAGGTATAAACTTAAATATTATGTATAATTTACCTACTCACTGAATATTGTTTATTTTTAGACCACTGCATTACAAAAATATTCAGTCGGCCAAAACTTGATATTCTCTTTTATATTTTCTTCAAATGAAACCTCTTAAAATGTATTGATTGAAAATTATGGCCAGAGAATGATAGTTTATTATTTAAAACAACTTTAATTCATTTATTACAAACAAATTACAATTTTTTAATAGCTACATTATGTATAGGAATATTTTATAAGAAATGTTGGTGGTTCTAATTCTTAGAATCGTGTACAGAAAATAATAGGGAAGTTTTTTAGTGATGAATATGTTACAAAATGTACTAGAACAGGTCGTGGAAAAGATAAGACAACAACAGTTGGACAATCTGAACTTCTTAATATTTTAAAAAGTGAGAGTCTTAAAATATAATTTTTTTTAATAATGTCGATGTATTTGTTTGGAAAATAACTGTTTGACTAATCTATTTCCAGCATTAATTTAATATTCATCTTTAATTAATTTAACAAAAGTTGTAAATGAATGTAGTAGTAGTAGTTCTGTAAAATTTACTGGTTAAAATTTTGAAAATATTGTGGTTAAGATATAAGATATAAGATAAGCTAGGTCAAAGAAAGCTGACTAATTAATAATTTTAACAATTTAGAATACTTTTGATCCACTGAGAGATACATTTATTAGATGTAAAATATGTATTACATTAATATTTATAGTCTTTATTTGGATGAACTATTTTTGACTTTATTTTATAATTTTAGAAATTAAACAGAAAGGAGGAAGTTTTGGGACTAGTAATACCCGAACACTTCAGAAAAATTATAAATTTAAAAAAAGAAACATGATACCTCTTTCAACCGATTTCACCCGAATTATAAAATGTATGACCCATCTTCAATAGTTAATGTAATTACTATTTACTAGTGAATACTTCCAGCCTTTTTTATTAGATGTTTCAGTATTGATAGATTGTGGTCTTTGTGTAAATGATAAAATATTTAAATTTTAGATGGATTATATTGTTTGTAATTCTCCAGTTGAGGCTTTTTATAAAATGTGAAAGGGCTCAATGGTTATTTTGGCTGTTCATCATGTAGGTACTCAAGAGTGTAGATATTTACAAAACAGAATGCCATTTCCTGATATAGATGCTCTATTCAGAATTTAACTATCTTTCAAGAGCAATAAAAAATAATATAGAGTATTGGTAAGCTACTGAAGTTAGATCATTTTTATTATATTATGGTCCAATAGTTTTAAAAGGAAAATTAAAAAAAAAACTTTTATTCCCATTTTAGGCTATTACCTTGTGGAGTTAAAATTGTAATAAGTAGTTCTCTATAACAAAACTCATAACGATATGTCGATATAGCTTTAATGTTGTTTAAACAATTTATAACTTTGTATTCATTATTATATAGCGTACAATGAAATTCTTATAATGTGCATAGTTTGCTACACCAATGTTTGTAAGAATTCATGGTACGCTTGATAATTTCTGCTGTTTCAAATATGAGAATTTTTTACAATTTATAAAAAATCAATTAAATGTGCAAAATATACGCTTCAAGAAATGTATAACAAAATAATAGAAAAAATCTAACCTGCTAAAAGAATTTAACTATATGGTACTGACAGATAGCAAACAAAATTTCTTAATTGGTAGGCACACTTTTTTAAATAAATTATTTTATTTTATTTAAAATAATAGTTAATGTATCAAAAGAAAAGAACAAGTTTATTTATCTTAAAATTAATCATTTAGTAGTTATTAAATGTATTGCAAAAAATAAAAAAAATTATGCTGTGAAAATGAATTGTGAATACATTTTGTAGTGTTTCAGAATTTTTTTTGTCCCCTACATCTTCTTTAACCATTGGCTCATATTTAGTAATTTATTGGTATCTTAAAGTTTTTCTGTATCTGTTACTGATTTTAAGAATAAATGTTTTGTAGTAAGTATAGTTTAGCTAAAACAGTCATGACTGTACAAAATTATTTGTTACATGAAACAAATAATAATTAATAATGAGTAGGCATTTATAAATGTATAATTATGTAATATATCCATAACTCTGTATGTAATTTTAATTTTGTAATTATTTATTTTAATTATTGTATTATGTTCATGTCATTTTTTATAGTATGTTTATTATTATATTGTATATTGTTACTTATTATTAAGTCATTGTAAATATTTTTATATGCGTCTTATTATTTTGGGTTCTGGCCTGTTTAATGAAAAATAAATAAATAAATATGGATTAGGTAATTATAGTGTGTTTGGAATACTGTAGTAAGTACTAATACCTATAAATTATGATACTAAAATAAAAATTACTTTAATCACAATAATATAATAAAATGTACTTAGTAATATTATAGACTGACCACTGACAGACAGTCTTCACTCAGAATCGTGTTTCGTGTACAATGATTTTACATCATTGAATTAAAATTTAAATCATCAATTACAGTGACTCTCTGAAAACCTAATGTATATCATTATGTATTCACTTGGCCGCTTTTCTATTATAATTTAAACAACTTCCATATGTCCAACTGCTAACTTTGTCATTTACTGACTGAAACTATTAGTATTATTTTTATTTTTTACATTTTTTTATTTAGGCATTATTATATTGGTTATGTATAGCTTTGGAAATTTTTTCCAGGTAAATTTTCTTAGATATTTGAAATATGTATTTGAATATAAATACAAATACTTTTTTTAATTATTCAAAATCCCCAATAAATGCCTACTTTTAGTTCAATAAATGTGATATTGAAATATTTGTACCTTTGTTAATTGCAAGTAGGCAGGTACTTAAACTTAAATTCATCAATATATTTTAATACTAAAACTAGTAACTAGTATAATAGTTGATTATTAGTTCATGAATTTCAAATTTAGGGCCTACCATGTCAGCTAGCCTGTTATTTTATGTGTGATACAATTTTGTTATAAATTCCTAGAACCGTGCATTAGGTACAAAATATTATTTTATGAACAAAATGTAAAATAAGTAAAATGCTAAAATATTGGTCATTGAAATACAACGGTAAGACAGAGACAAATTATATTTAAACATTTAAAATACAGTTTTCACTAAGTTTTTCAAATTTATTTGAACTTTGAAGTATCAAAAAGGCACTTAAATACTTAACAAAACTGAGTTAGTTTTGAACAAATTAAATTCATATTTATATTTTGTTTAAGAAATACCATTTCACATCAGAAAAGTTCTTAACAGTTGAAAAATTTAAAACACATCTTTGAAGAAAAAAAATATGTTATTTAAGTTTTAACTACACTTTTCGGGCCCAAGCCTCGAGGAATGCTTAATATATAGTTAAAGGCTCAATGCACACTCAGTGTAAATAGATATCTACATTACCTACTGTCATATTATTTATAGAAGTTTGAATATTTTCGTACTTTCTACTCATTAATTGACAATTATGCTAGGCTATACTCATAAAATACACCTATAAAGGTAATGGTGTCATATTTTATATTATAAAAACAGAAAGGAACACACAATATTATATATATAACAAGACGCCTGTCGAGTATAAAATATTAACTACTAAATATTTCTTTTATGTAAAACGTTATAAAAAATTAGATATCTGAGTAATAATAATATGATTAACGTTAATTAATTTTTTATTGAAACAATAAATAAAATGTTCTCAGTTTTCACAAAATTAGGAGTCTTATATACACATATTTTTTTTTTATAGTTTCTATAAACAGTACACATCTCAGAATTCCATGGTAACTGGTAAGTTAATGTTAATTCAAACAAAAATTACAATATTATATAGTAGGATGCCATGAGAGTATACTGCTACTGTTCTAGCATACATGTGCCTTTATACTGTATGTTAATTCAGAGTTTAAAGTGTAGAGAATTGCACATGTGGGGAAATGAAAATAATATATCAATAATAATAATAAAGAGATTTAAATTAAGGTAAGAGACTTCATTGCTTAAGCAATTTAATATCTACAAAGATATTTCACAAATTACAAATAAATTAACCTAAACAATTTATAAAATTAAATATAATTCACAAACATGTACACTTAATATTTATGTGTATTGTGTATAGTTTTTTTTTTTTAAATACAATTAGCAAACGACTTTAAAGTGTCCATGAGCGTAAGTATGTATTTTATCGGTCTGTGCTATCCGCTTATCATCTTGTAGGTTGAAACAAAATTGTTCGGATTTGTTTGTTCGATCTCATGGTTGAATGTGAATGGATACATTTTCGTTAGTATATAGTTTATAGTTTTATCTTTTTCGTCATCGGCGAAAAGGCAACCCAAATGATTTTTGAAAGTCGTATGATTTAAAACCACATGCCCTCGGACGCCTTTAGCCTTTATTTTCTCCTTTTAGCTCAAAATGTAAGAGTAACACTTTGCTCGAAGGGCGATAAACTCCGTAATTGGTTGTCCTTTTGCCTCGTCGGAAAACAACCCAGGAATCGTCTTCCCCGCCCTCATGAAACACGGAAGGTCTGATTTATCCATCCGGTCCAGCAAGTTTGAATTAACAGCCAAGTCTTTATACATGTCCTCAGTCAGTATATAGTTTATTAACGAATCTGAGAAACAAAAATATATATATAAAATATATTATTATCTTATTCATATAATAAGATAATAATAGTAAAATTAATTTAGTAATTCAAAATATTCCTGTATCCGTGTACATTAATATGATATTGTCACCATAATGCGCCTTCATTACATTAAATACTATAACTATACACAGACAACAAAGGAGAGGTTTGTGACGCTCAGGTGGATCAACCGGCTGAATGTATGCGACTTCCTGACGCCTTTGGTGATAGAAGGAAACAATATAATATCATGGGTGTTGAACGCCTACGCACTGCTGTATAAAAACCCGTTCATAAATAAGTGCTTTTCGAGGTACCCAGACAAAAACGTGTTTTATTCACTGCCAGAAAAAGAATAATAATAAGGGTATATTAAATCGAAATCTAGTAAATTTGTTTTTGGTCGCAAGTGGCATCACCGTCTATGAATAAGGCCTATGGGTACCTATAGTATATGTATATCCTTTCTCTGGTGTTGTGAAAGAGTTTGCCTACGCTCCGTTGGTCAGCCAGTTTTTTGGATTGCCTACCCAAAAACTAGAAGGCGTTATATAGCACTCCGTGCAAATAAATATTGGTCCCGGTCCCACCGACTGAGTTTTCAATCACATACAAGATATAATAACAGAAATAGATAAACTCTCACATTAGGTACCACAAATTCTTCACCGACTAAAATGAAATCGAGTAGAGACCTCTTAAAATAGGGAAAAAAGTCTTTTGGGGTTCTGTTAATGAATGGTCTCCGCTTCACGGGATTCATGTCGTTTTGTACAAACTTTTCTTGTTATCCTTACTTATTACTTATTGTTTTTATTTTGTAAAAGATGGAATATATTTTAATAAATAATAATGAAAAAATAGTTTTGAATACAATCTATTTATTTCGGTTTTGCTATATTACATTATGTTAAATTAAAATGCATGACTATCAACTATACATGAAGAATAACAAATTATTATTGAGGCAAAATCAACTTATGGTTTCAGACACTTGTACATTTTAAATTTTTCATCTTTATTTTCAGATTCATTGATATATGATGCACAAAGGTTATTATAATGTGAAATATGTCAATGACCACAAGGTTAAAAATTATAAATCCTACATAGATATTATTTTGCTACACAACATTTAGTTATATAAAAATGAATTGGTAACATTAAAAAAATACTTTGATATATAACCATAATTTTTAATGAAACCCCCCTCCCCCCCTTTCATTGACAATATCTGTGGACGCCACTGACAGTGGCAGGAATATGTGGTTTTTATACCTCAGTTTCACTTTACATAGGTATTTTGAATGATAAATTTCTAACTAAAATTTACGAAATAATTGTATTCAATAAATTTAACCAGACTCAGTAACTGAGTTTTTAATTTAAAAAAATCTATTGGAAATCTATTGCCAACAATGAAAAAGCAAATGCAAGTTTTTATAAGTGTGTTAGTGACATGAAGTATTATGTAAAAGAGAATTAGGATATGAAAGGAAATTGTTACGCTATAAAAAGAAAGGTTTCCAAACAATACTAAGTATAAAGTACCTAAATAACTTAATTTAATTTGTTTTTATATGTCCAGGATTATAGTCAATAATAATATATAAATTCATTACTATGTGTAGGATATAAATGTTTTCAGAATTTTCAAGTGACATGGGATTTAATAAAATAAAAATTATTTATAAGGATTTAATGACCTACCTAAATACATAAATTCATAAATAACCGAATTTAAAAAAATAAAGTCACGTGGATATATTATAATATGTTTTTAAATCTAAATTATTTTTATATACTCATTTAAAAAACAAGTTAAACTATTATTATTATTATATTTTTTTTTATATTGGTAAAGCACATAATGCATTGATTATAATATCATCCGTATAGTGCTTACCCACTGCATTCTTAATATCAACAGTAAAGCGCATACAGCATGACTTTTGAGTGAGTTAAAGCTAGAAAGTATTGTTTAATATTAAATATTAATATTATTTTGACTAAGATAGTAATTATAAGTTGCAGAACCTGTTCAGGTTAACCTAATCAGGTTTTTGGTATCAAAAAATTATATTTTATTCTTCTAATGATTAAATTATAACCACTTTATAAACATATTATATTATAGGTATTCATGTTGGCTGAAAGTCCTATACTCAACAAAGAATTATTAAACTCTGCTTCCGACATCAGACCAGATTCAGACAGGTTAAAACTTAGAAAAAATGTCTTAAGTCAAAATTCAGAATGTCAGGTAATAGAAGGTTTCATAACTATCATGGTACCTAATTATCATTCATTACATTATTACGATTTTCAAAAAATGTTCAAAATGCTTATTTTGGAAAGTAATTTAGAAATTCTAAATCACTAATAGCTACCTACATAATCAAAAAAAACCATTGGCATGCGCACTAGGAATTCCTAGGCACCCCCAAATCTTTCACCCAAGGGCCAAGGCCCTGATTATTTATTTAAGACCCCAATGGATTGGTAAGTTCACTATATTTTTTTCATTTATGGTACTACTCTGTAAGCAAATAATGTTATTACTTTAAAGTATCCAGTTTTTGAAAAAACATGAAAACTTAATATCAAAAGCACAAAGCTAAATGAGTGTAAATGAAAGTTGCAAATGATCCAAAACAACAAATACTTAGTTTTACTATCAAAAAGGACCAGCTGAGTTGGAGTAGTTCACTGAAAATATGAATAATTTCTCAAAAAGTGGCAGGTATGTTATCAATTATTAATTTGTATAGTTTGTTTTGTCAAACGGGGTCGACCATCATTTGGAGTAATTGTACACTATGTACCCTGTCCACAGGTGTGATTAGACTTCATTCGCAACGGTAACCTAGCTTTAATAACCAGCACTTTTCATGAACCTAAAAAAAATTACATATACCCAAATGTGCTCCTAATGAAGTATTTATACAATTTAAAAAAAAAATCTAATTTATTTACAATTAATAATTTACAGTAAGTATTTGCAGTACCTTCCATTAATGCTTAAATTTGACTTCAGAAATATTATTCATCTACAGCCAACATTACTTACAATAATATCCAATAATATATTATGAGAACCGTAACGTTGTTTGTCTTTAGTCCCAAATCTAGTCTTTACAGTATGGGTTTTCTGAATTTAGGAACAAATCTTTAAAGGTAAATGGCACCTAATTATAATGATGCACAAAAGAATTTCTACTTTTTTTTAAACAACTGCTGCAACCCATCCGATTTAACTACTTGAGACTCAGTCGACCAGCGCCTCAAGAAAATTGCACGGGCAGGCTAGTCACACTAGGCTGCCACCGTAGACGCGCTTGTGACCCTGTCGGCTGTCACTCGTCGGGCTCGTCTTTTTTCAGTGTTTTAAACCGAATTTTTCGTCAACCGAACGCACGTCTTGTACGTCGTAAGACCCCTCGCTGTAGGTCACTAGAAAAGTAGAAAGTAAAAATCACAGACCAAAAGGACGGACGTAAGTACGATGTACGTTGTTATCAGCATAATTTTGTTTTTTGTACGACGACTGCCGATAACGGCCATACAATTTTTTGTTATCGTTGTTATCGTTTAAGCGTCTACAATATTTCGTACCGCAGCTGCTCACGATCAGAAATCGGGCGTCGGATGTCTGAAATTCTGGATTAGCGATAACGAGACGTAACTAAAGTAACACAGCACTGACGGCACTATAATATTAATTAATAGTCAAATACAACAATTATCATAGCTTTCAGTTGGGCGATTTAATTTTTAAAAATTAATAACGAAATACCTCCCACAATATTGAAAGTCACTGTTGCCCCCCACCACGCCCGTCTTTCTTTATGAGTCGCTGCGAACAAATAATTATTGGTAATCATAATATTAACATTGTTTTATAGACGTTATAGTTGTCTATAAGTTCACATTCTCACATTCCCCGCAATTAAAATCGGCCAGTCCTCGTTCATTATATTGCCCGATCGTACACGGCGAGTGTATAAGGTAACGGCTATCGTACGTCATGGACACTGGCGGCATCGAGTTTTTGTCACAAATTCAAGAAGGACAACTATACAAGTACACAAACGTGGTCAAAGGCTGGCAACACAGGTGGTTTATAGTGGACCCAAGAGAAGGAACTCTAAGCTATTTTTTGGTAAGCTACATAGGCGTACATATTATGTAATATATTAATACTTTTGATGGTGGTATACTTAAATACATAGTTTCCTATCTACATTTCTATCTCTCCAAATCTTAGACTTAGATTCTTACACTTCTTTGATCAATAGCTTTAAAAACATTTCATGAAGCTGAATGCCCTAATATTGTATTGCAGTCAATTATCCATCTAAATGTATTGCTATTGAAATTTAACAACATTTGTTTTTTCTTACAATTCAATTTAATATTATTAAGTCACTTATGCACATTTACTCAGTTTTGAAATCATGTAGTTTAGTGAAAAACTATGATTTACTTTATGAATTATTTATGGTATGTTGTGTTGCATAAACGTTCATTAAATATTTAATGAATCAATAGTTGACTAATGACTAATGGCACATCTTAAACATGATTTAGAGATTGTTGGCCTGTGATTGGTGACAAATCGTTGATAAATAATAAACTAAACTAGGTATTTCTATTGTTAGTAATTTTAAAATTGTTTGTATCAATATAAAATTCAAACAAAAACTATGTCTATTCAATTTAGAGTTATTCAATTGTTTAATAGACAAATAGGTACTTCTAAAAATTCCAATAGGTGATAAAAAAAATTAATACCAATATACCTAGGTAGTCATTAATACGTTTGATTAACATTAAGTACAAGACTAAATGTAAGAAGCAATTACAATTCTAGGCATGATTATTCATTATGGATTTTAAATTTTAAATGTCACTCAGAACCTAATTTGGTAAATTAAATTTAAAACTTGTTTCAGAAAGCGTGGTGGTTATGGTATATATAAGTGTATAACTAAGTAAAATTATTAATATTATATAATATAATTTATAAAAATCAATTTAAACTATTTGTTATCGTTGATATTGTTTGTATAATATTAATTTACTATTAAGCCATACAAATATAACTATGTATATTTTTATATTGGTCTATACAGTTTTTAATATAAAATAATTTTTAGTCACACATCACCCACAGTAAAGCATTTACTCATCTATATAAATGTTTAATAAAATATAACAGTTAAAAACTCAAAAATTGTGTGCCTATACATTTTTATTTTTACTTAGAATTTAAATGTTGTTTTGAAGGACGAGGCCAACATTCTTATAAGTTATTATTTAAATTGAATAATAATATTAAAATGAATTTTCTTCAAATAAAATATATTATTTTATATTTCATATTAATATTGATGTTATGTGATAACTAATTTGCTGTAAAACAATTGAATAGTTTTATTAATACAGCCAAACAAACGAAAATTCAACCTATAGAAATTTAAAAAAATACAATGTAGGTAATAGAAAACTAATTGCTGTTACCATTTATATTATTATTATCGATTATATTACTAATACAAACTATAACTACCTTTCTATTACCACTATTATTAAAAATTATATTGTTTTATTGTGCAGAGTGAAAATGATACAAAGCAACAACCACGAGGATTTATTTTTTTGGAATCTGCTGTCGTATCTCCAAGTGATGAGGATTCAAATACATTTTCTGTGAACTCTTGGAATGGTGAATGTTATAAGCTAAGAGCTGTTGATGCACGAGCTAGACAAGACTGGGTGAATCGTTTGAGAGCTGCTGCAGAGTATCATTCCCAAGTATATATTAAATTAACTTTAATAATAAATGTTTAAATCAACTCAATAACTTCATTCCTATTTATAGAAAAATGTACAAAAATTTTCAAGAACAAATTATGTGTATGATTTTTGCCCAAGTGGTGTTAAAAGATCATTGGCCAATGCACGACAATATTTATCTCAGGCTGAAAACAATTTTATTGACATGGCTCGTATCATAGAGAAGTTACCATCTCAAGGTTAGTTGTTGCAGTTAAAATTTAATGTATAAATTTTTATAGATATGTCTAGATATAATCATTATCATAGAGTAAAATATTGGTAGCTATTAATGAAATTCATTGTTTGTTGTAAAATGTATTAAAAATAGATCTAAAAAAAAATTTAACACATATTTTTTTCTTAGATAATATGTACAACATCAAATAATTTTCTATTCATACTTAAAGTTGATTTAAAAATGTGTTTTTTGATGTAACAAATAATCAATGTATTACCTAATGTTACCTAATGTTTATAATTATTAATAACTATTATATTATTTTAATTGAAAATAATTTTAATTTTTAAAACAAGTGCATTTCGTAATACTTGATGCACCAATTTTAATTAACTATTAAAATGTGTTGTAAAGCTTTGAGTACTCAGCATTAGTTGTTAAGTACATATTAGAACTATTAAAAGCCCAGATTTCAAGTGAAAAATCATAAGCGTTATCATAAAAAGCGTCTATTAAAATAAAAATTCATAAAATATTTGAACAACCTTTGCAATCTTGCAGTTCATCAGCTTTCTTAACTGTAATAAATTAGAAAGCACCATTTGTGCCAAGTGTTGTTAAAGTCTGTACTTGTGAATGTCCTACATTATATTTAAATCAAAATACATAAGACGCAATCAAAATATTTATTTAGATTTAACCACTGAAAACAGTTTTCCTTATTTACATTGTTTGCAATTGGGCTATGAAAAGTATAAAAGGTCATTATGAGCTGCAATCGGGTGACACTCTTAAAATTATTCTAAATGTAAATAGGAATAAAATCTTTCCTGCGCTGCTAGAGTATTATACAAAACATTGATATGAAGTTGTAATTATAATATTAATGAAAAAAAATACACTTACTTAGTGGCCGATCACAAATATTGTTGTGGATTGAGTAAATTGGTATTCTACTGTACTTTTAACTGACTGAAATTTTAATGATAAAATAACCCTTAATATTTCTATAGATTTATATTTATTATAAAATTTAAGAATATTGTCTGTATTTAATTGAATATTTTTGTTATTTTAAAATAAGTTTTTAGCATTTTAAACTTCACATTTTTTGAGTAAAAGCTTAAAAATTAAATATCAGAAAAACCTGATGAAAGAACACAAATAATATTGATACTCTTAAAAGTGTAAAAAATTTCAATTTATTTTAACATTAAAAATAACAACATAAAATGGTTACTACTGAATGAAAATTTGATATGATATTCATCTGGGCATACATTAGGGGTTCTAGTGAATACAACTATACAAATAAACAAGAAAAATAGAAAATAAATCCTTGTATTGTCATTGGTACTTTTGTTTTTGCGAAGAATGACCATGTAACACAACTGTAACTATAATTGTAACTTCCATAGATTTAGATTATTATGTGTGCTATTGAAATATTTCTATCCAACTATCACAAAACTATATATATTTTATTCTTTGTACATTGTCCATTTTCATGATTTAATACAATATTATCTAAAGTTATAATATAGAAATATATTTGATATTTATAATAATTTAGTAAGTCATGCTAGTATTTTAAATTTTAAATAAATTTGTTTTTATTACTAAATAATAATAATATGATCTTATTTTAAACTGTAGGTCCACGTTTAAGGAATACTGATCCAGACTTGTTAATAATAAAAGCAACATCACAGTCAATGATGTGCGCATTAGAAAACTGTTATAAGATTCTACAACATTCGAGCATAGAACAACCAATCATTCGAACTTATTCATTTTTGAATTCAAAACAGTCTTCCTCAACTACACATTCAAAAAGAAAAGCACATACAACAAGTACTTAACTAATAAGTAATAAATTAACATCATGTTTCTCTCTTAACTTTATACCGTGATTTATGTATATTCCATTGATTATATTTATAATAGTTATTTGTATTGAATTTTTAAAAATGTATTGTTGTTTATGGATATTTTTTTTATTTTTATGTACCTAAATTGTATTATTGTTTTCAATTTTAATCGTTCACAAATTTGTCGTAAGTTTTTTTAATTCTAGAGACAGGGGGTATAATAGTCTATAATCTATTATATTTAAGAACGAACCACTCCACTGACTAAAATAATGACTGTCGGCCTATCACAGAACACATAACCATCAGGTTCATTCTTAAATAGAATAGAGTATAGTTACTGAAATCTCAATAAAATGAATCAAAACTAGAAGGCCTATGGTTTAAATAAATATAACTATATGTTGATAATATATTATTAAGAATTATTAAGCTGGACTTGACCGAGCGGTTCATTTTGTACATTACATTCCAGTTTTTCATACTAAAAATGTATATTATGTAGACTATTTTACTGTATGATCCTAAGCTATAATGTTTTTATACTTTCAGTGGAACTATTACTTTTAGTGTTTGTCATTATATTATTTAGTTAAATCATCCATTTATTTATATTATCATTTAATCCCTCCATAGAAGTTACTTATTGATTTAATAATGATGTTTTTTTTTTTTTTTTTGTGTGAAACTAAGGGTTTTTTGAGAATTTATCAACTATTTATATATCACATAATTTTATTGATAACAAATTTAGGATTAGTATAACAATTTTTATCATTTTTATGGGAACACTGAAATCACAATGTATTAATTATTAAATAGTAAGAACTGAAATATTCTGATCACAAATATTGGTTAATATAAATAAAAAAATAAAAATGTATCATATGATTAATGTATAAATCAGTTGTTATACCGTAGTGTAAATTTTGATGTTAAGAAAATATGGCCTGAAGTGAAGTCACTAAATTTGCAAAGGTTTTTCAAACAAAAACAGATGAATATTTACAATGCAATGAACATGATAATTAAAATTTTGATTTCTGCTTTAAGTCTTTAACCTGGCACTGTGGAGACTTTGCGTGTATGTACTAAACAATGTACACACTGCCCAGTCAATTTGAATGGCAGACCCAAAAAAATTATTTATATTAAAAGAATTATTACCAATAATAAATGATGTTCATGGAAAAAAAATTACTTATGTATTAAACTCTGAATATTTTAAAACAATGATAATTATATACCTAATATGAAAATCAGAATATACAAAATAAATAATTTATTATATTTCATTATTATATTATAAAGATTTTATCTGTTTTCCGACACTTGCATTTAATTGTTTTGCAAAACTGTGTGCAAGCAGTTTATTGATCATCGATATTATAATAAATTGTTTTAAAATATTACTAGTATAATAATTAGGTGATAATTAAATTAATTACAATTAATATTATATTGATTTATTTTTTTGTTTTTCCATCTACATATATAAAATATGCATATACATTCAGATATGTATAAAATAACTAGTAATAATAAATTAAACAAAAAAAAACTGCACTTATAATAATAAGTTTGTTTTTGTGGTTAAAATTGCTTGGGCTGGACTAAATTAACCAGGCAATGTTCACTTATAAAGTTATAAGTAACAAATTTGATTTATATAATTGTGGAATATTGTTACGAATGAATATCACATATATTTGTTAGTAGTGCTTGAACTGTGGGGAGGAGGACAGGTCCTTTTTTATTTAAAAAATATTTATGTACATGCCTTTTCATTATATCCAAATCAAAAAGATATTTAAGTATTCAGAAACGCACATTTGTTTTTATACTTTTGCATCCTCCTAATTTTTTCCCAATTCAAGCACTGTTGGTCATAACTCATTAATCTGAATAATTGCATGTAATGTGGTGACAGTTGAATTCTATTAGTAAATATTTAATTCCTCAGAAAAATAAATTTAAGTTTTCACTCTAATCTAAAAACTTATTTATAATTATATGAATATTTACATACATATTGTAGTTCATGTTTCTGTCATAGCGTATATATAACACTGTTCACGGAATTTTTCAGACATTTCCTAATGAATCTATAAGCCCCTTCCTAAAAAAATTCTGATAGTTAGTCTTAATACAATTTAAATTCACAAGTCTGGCTATGAATAATATAATAAAATTATACTAATTATATTATAATACATGTCTTTGATTATTGTTTATGTATTTAAATCACTTGATTAGAATTAGGTACTTTAATCCTGTGTTAAATCACAATATACCATATGAATAAATATGTAGTAGGTCCCTAAGACGTTAAGTAGGTTAAATAACCTATGTATGCTACTAGAATATTAAGTACATTCTTAAAATATAATAATAATTAAGAAGATTGTTTTTCGATCTTATTGATTTTTATAGAATATGCTTTTGGAATTTTAACATTTTGATTTTACAACTTTTACATCTGTAATATCTGTATGGCTTATTCTTATTTTATAAATTAATTGTTTCGTATTCAAATATCTACGTGGCTACATCAAATCTTTTTGTTTTAATAATAATTTTGCCTACCTATAAAATATATGTAAAAAGATCAGTTTTATGATATTAATATATCATGAATACATATTACATGTTTATTAACATAACAATGTGCATTACTTATTATTTTATTAACAAACCTTTTAAAAAGCCAAAATAATTTTAAGAAAAGTAAAGTTATTATTTTGAAATTGCACAATTTGTAATTTAATACTTACTTGGTATGTTATTACTTATTAGTTTTCATACCTGTCTGGAGTAGGTCTATAATTTTATTTTCACCATTCACTGTGTTACTAAAGACCATCTTAATGCTTTTTACAATTATGACTCCAAATGTAATCTCCGATTCACCAAAATTAACTTACATTAAGACCTAGGCGTTTTGAGTAAATGAGAGTCTATTTAGCTACCTACCACTATTTAGTGGCACTGTTGCTGTTGGTAAGTCAGTTGTTTTAGTATCTGTTATTTTACCGCCTTGTGCCCAATTTACAATAGATTTTTTTCAATGATATGTACTAGTCATTTGACATATCAATTCTCCCAAGATACCTAAAAGAAAGGAATACAATGAGCCTTTAAAAAATACGGCAGCTCAAATAAATCACTCGAATAAAATAGAAGATGTGTTTAAAAACTTACTGGTGATTCATAAATATAATGGGTCAGATGAAGCCAAGTGTATGAATTTTATCAATGGATAGTTGACCTCTATATCTGGCTTGAAAATGTTATGAAACTCATTAGTAGCATCCAAACATAAAAATCATGTATTCTACACTGATAGGGTAAATCAATATTATCTGGAAAATGTATTCTGTATGGTATCCCGACAATAGAGCGAAAGAAAAAGAGCGAACGTAAATGAGCGAATGAAAAATAGCGAATACAAAATGAGCTAATAAAAATATGAGCGAAAGCATATAGAGCGAAAAAATATACGTGTGTACTAACACTACTAACTATGTGAAACTACAGTGAAATATTTTAGGATTCGAAAAGTCCGCTATAACGATTCGATAAGATTACGTTTATGATCATTTGTCTTATCTGAGTCATTGTCGTCGTACCTATGTTGAGTTTATACTTTATAGAGGCTTCAATTGTCTATTAGGGTCGTGTAATCCAACAATTTGGAAGTTCATAAAAGCCCTTCAAAATCAACAGACTTTAGTGTATATGCAGGTATATCAAATTAATAGTGTCATTTGTTCGTCCAATAAAAAAAAAATATAATGATTCTGCCGAAAAATTAAAAAATATTGCTGACGATTATTATAATATTCCGATTTCAATATTTAAAAGGTATCACGTATAATTTTTCATTGCAAGTATAAATTTATTAATTTTATATTCAATAAGTATGACAAATAAGAAATCTAAATGTATTAATTTTATAATTATGTGTATGTGCAAATAATTTATTTAAATTATATTATAATATTATATTTTTTCGCTCATATTTTTATTCACTCATTTTTTATTCGCTCTTTTTCATTCGCTCATTTACATTCTCTCTTTTTCTTTCGCTCAATTGTCGTAGAACCATTCTGTATATTTCACCCACTCCAAGGCAATTGTTTGAACCCTACACCAATTCAATTCATATGGGCATTAAAAAAAAATGCTTTATTTATATTACTTTTAGCATTCGCCTGATGGAAATTGTATTAATGATTTTGATCAGCTCGGTTTAACCATCCCCTGGCAAAAGAATAATTGTAGGTACAGTTGATTACAGATATTTCTGAAGTAAACACATTTACTTATGTGTGAAGGTACTTAATGACAAAATGTCTGGGAAAACATACCTGTCAGATTTGTATTACTCAATAAATACTCATGCTCATCATCAAAAACAATTGGATAAATATTTTTTACTGTAAGTTATTAAAGCATATTCTACTAATAACCATTCCACTTTTAGAAATTTAATGATGCCGGTCGCCGGATGTGATTTATATAATTATATCTTTGAGCTACAGAATATATTCCTCAATAACTTTACTTCCATTGTCTATGAGGAAGACGTTGGGGCCAAGATGAAAATTAATTTTTGTAATGTTGCATAGCCTTATTTATTTGAAAACAGCTATTTTCAGAGCTACCAATTTCAAAACATAACTTTACATTTTTTTTAATATTATATTATTTTCGTAAATAAAAATAATTACCATTTCCAAAATATGATTGTGATTTTTCTTCTTATTGACTATTAGTTGATATTACTCACAATTATTGAATTATCTATAGAAGAAACTACATTTCTACCTTACGTTACTGCATAAAATAACCTGTACTTTTATAGTACATGTATACATGGTTGTGTATTTTTTGTCACTGGTCCAATATGTGAGGTAACAGGTATCACACTTATTTATTAATTTACAATTAATTTTAAAATTTTCATTTATTTATACTAAATGGTTCATGACCCATAGAAAAGACGACATTAATTAGTTATACATTTGATTTTTTTTAACCATTTTAACTTAACAAGTTTTTTTGTCATTTTGTATATTAATAGATACAATATTATGTGACCTTGATTGCTATTGACGTACAAAAATAAATAATATAATAGAAATGTGTAGGTATAGTTTAAATATTTAATAATCATGTATAATCTAAAATAGGTATACTTAACTCTGTACATTACGATAAAAATTCAATAACATTGTTTATTATACTTAATGTAGGAAATTAGAACGAACATAATATATACCATCCAACTTTCAACTGGTCGAGTTAAATGTATGATTCAATTAATTTTGGATCATGAAATAACTAAATGATTTTAGTGGAGCGATCTCCGACACTTCTTGGAGCTGCCTATTTAATAATTAAAAAGCACTACTTTCTTTAATAATATATCGTAAATTCAATATTCTCCATAACGGCATAACCATTTTATATGCCTTGTTAATACCATCATTAGATAGCTACTTAACTACATGTCAACATGCTGCAGAGAGAACACTAATTTCTCACCATCCAAAATAATCTTTATTTAAATCTAAGCAAAATTTATGCTTTTTTATTCTAATCTTTCTGCATTTCAATATATAATTAAAATTAATTCTTTGATACTAAAGCATATTTTATACAAGAATATAATTTTACAATCAACAAACCTAAGTAGTAGGTACATAATCCAATAAATTAATATAAATAGAATAATATAGATGTGCACATTTTCATAGCTACAGATTCTATGTATTATATATTACAAGAGTAAGAAATTCAATTATATGCTGTACTGAATCCTTCAATCAATAATTAATTTATGCACCTATTGAAATGTAAAAAGTTAGAGTGAAAAAATTCAATTTTAAATACCTACTATTATTTTTATTTATTTACATAATTTTGTTAAACAAAACCACATGTCTTGAATGAAATTTCCGTTTCGTTTCCGCTGTTTTCTTTTGCAATGATTATGAATACAACAAATCCTGGTTTGCGTTGCTTTATTTTCAAATCCTTGAGGCTATCGAGACAGATGAACGTATATTTTATGTTATTTATTTTATTTCATTGTTTTTATTACCATTTCAACACTATCATTTTGAGTTATTTCAGTTTGATCGTTTTGGTTTTTACAAAAATCATCATCTTCTGGATAGTGTCTGGTTTCTGATACTTGTTTTCTGGTTTCTGGTGTCGGTTTTCTGGTGTCTGGTGTCGGTTTTTTGGTTTCTGGTGTCGGTTTTTTGGAAACTGGTGACTGATTTGTGGAGGGTTTTGGTTTACTAGCCTCAGGTTGTTTCTGTAGTTCCTTCACACTCGCCACATGTTCAGTTTGATTCCCATCATTAGGCTTTCTCTTAAAGCTGAATTTTTTTGTTTTATGCCTTTTGGCATCACAAGCATTATTTGACATGTTTATATAATAAACATTTTTGTAAAATAAACCGATATAAAATGTATAATATATTTAAAAACTCAAAATTTACAATTTGTTTGGAATATTTCCATAGTAACCAAAAACATATTATTTTTACTAAAATAAGGTGTGTAATTAAACCTTAAATTGCATTTCCTTATGTTTCTGGTGTGTATATACTACAATGCCTACCAATAATTGTAGATATACTTTACTACATTAGGTATATGTAGACCGTTTGAATGAAATGTATTAAAAGTTACTTTAAACTATCACATGATGTGACAATTAATAGTGCATACAATTAATAATGGTAATCATCAACATGTCAGTAGCATGCATTATGCAAATACCCTGCAATTTCTAATATATTTTGTTAAAAATTTAAAGATTTATACTATAGGTATTAACTAATGTACAATATACATATATAATATAAACACATGGACACAATATAATGAATTATGAAATATAGTTAAAGAGTCTATTATCTATATTGTTATGTGAATATTGTCTTACTTATGTTGATTGAGTATTAATGTACCACGTAAAAGAGCATCCATTGAACTACATAAAAACAGTTGCTCATTAAAATAAAATCCAGTATAATATTTGTGCTCAACAATGCTCAAATCTATAATATTATCCTGGACTCATAATATATATCATGTTAGTTTAACTTATTAAATAAAAATAAACAGTTGATGAGAAGGAAATAGCTCTGTTAATGAATAATGGATGCAATTAAATAAATTTACATGATATAAGACCCAGAATTTAGAATTGTCTTTTGTGAGTTGAGCTCAGTTACAACTGTACTGTCAATATAACTAAATGTAGACATTATGGGAATTATGTAAAAACAATAGCTATGCATATCAATTAATATATCAAGTTTTATAATTAATTATTGGTTCACAAATTGAATACACAAATTTGGCTTGTTGTTTTATTGATGGTTTAATAAAGTTTTTAGGGGTTAGTTGTACAGGAGTTAATGTTTTGTTAATGATTTGAAGTTTATTATGATGTGGAAATTGTTTCGTTATGTTTTTTGCTATAATATAATATATACTATATAGTATATTATAGTGTATTATATTATATAAATAATAAGTAAATAGCTCAAAAAGAGTAAAAATGTTTGTAAAAAATGTATGGTGTATAAAAAATTCAAACTTCAACATTTCAAGTGTCTATGGTTATTAGTTTTTGAATTAAAACAAAATAAGAAAATGATTTCATAAGACATCGTGAGTTAATGTGTCTAACGTCAAAAAAATTTAATTTCGGAAACATTTTTTTTTTGTTAAAGGTACCTAGTTAATCAATTTCACTTATACTTATATCATCGTATCCTAAAATTGGAATTTTAATCAACAGACAACACATTGTCAATGAGAATTTTTCCACCCTTTGCAAAAATATTTATATGTTTTTGGTCATTCATCATATGAATTTTTCAAAAAAAATATTTTCAACCCTCCTTTGTAAATAGGATAGTGAACCATTCAATTTCAGTTTCATTGGTTTGAAGATTTTTGAAAATAAGGTGTGGTGAATTTAAAGTATAATACTTTTGAAAAGTAATAAAATTACGTTACTAATTACATTTAAATATTTTTATTTAAATTACATTCGCGATACCCTACATTGTTTTTACCACATAACTTTACTTTTTCATTCAAAAAGTAGGACGTCTAATAACGTAACTTAGAAAAAAAATTAATTACGAAATCAGTCCATAACGATTAATAAGTACTTAGTAAGTATAATGTATAGGTACATTGTTGATGACTTAATTGTAGGTATACATGAACAAAATGTATAACTATTAACTCCTGAAATCTTTAATAATATTGTAGATTATTATTTATTATTCAACACTTTCAGAATTGTAAAAAACATTTTATTGATTTATAATTTTTGTTTAGTTTTTTCTACATTCATAACTTATTATAATAACAAGGAATATATCAAATTGTTCCATAGAAATTAATTTTAAAAAGTAATTTTGTTACAATAGCGTTATTGCAAAAGTAATTTAGTTTTAGTAATATGTTATTTGCCTTACGTTCAGGGCCATCATTTCAGTTTTTCTTAGAGTGGGGCAAAATTTTTATCAGTCTGATGTTCATTTGGTTAAAATAATAGGTATATATTACAAAAATAACCGCTACGCTCTCAAAGCGTGTAACAAACAAATATTTTTTTCAAAACCCTTAGGTACAAAACAGTAACAACAAGGTAGTACATGTAAGAAATAATGGTGGTCAGTTCTGACTGTTCACTATTTGTTAAGGTAGTTTTCACAAAAAAAAAGATAATTTAACAGATTTGCAAGCAAGAATAGTACAAAAAATACTCATTCACATAATTTAATGATAATGATGTATATGCATGTATGATGCATAGATTATTTTTTGTTTTTGTATTCATCCTTAAGGATATTGGAAGCTGTTTTTTCTGTTTTTGTCCAACATACATACAATCTAGGAGTTTAGAATATTAGATGTGTGACAGACCAAGTTAATCGTTTTCAATCTCCATAAGACCATAACTAAATAAATAAAACTATGTTGAAATCGACGCATATACTTATAAAATAATATTTTAAAACATATGTTTTATCTATTAAGCAAGCTTTTATTAAACAAAAATATATCAAATATCAATGAAGAAAAATAAATAATTTAAGTAATAAAAATATTATTTCATAATATGATATACTTAATTAAATATAATAGCAAAAATAAACAAAAACAATTAAGCTTTTAAAGGATACATAAGACATTTCCTGTCAGCAAATATACCAATAGCTTTCTATAGATCAACTTGTGAAGCTTCATAACCTTCAACAGCAATCACTAGCAAGTCATTTAAGTGATCATCAGTCGTAAGCAAGTTTTCATAAGTTTTAAAAATGAAAAAGGGTTCATTAGAAGCAGTTAAGACAGGTAGAGCCATAGAGGCATACAAAGAGAAATAATTTTTAGTGTCTCTTAAAAAAACTCTGAAGAGAGTTTGGAATTTCCAACAATTTTATTGATATGAAAAAAAGATCATAACGCCATCAAACGGCTATTATTTTTATTTTTGGAAAGTAAGTTTTTAGTAGTAAGAATTTCAGACTCAAAATGATTTAATAAAGCTTGAAGATAGGGACTTTTGAAATTAAAGTAATCAGGATTTGGAGAAATGAATATAGTACAGGTTAAAATTATTTTGTTGTTTGTGTCATTAAAACTTTTGTCAAGTTCATTCATAAATCTATAAAATAAATAAATAATTACATTATAGCCATGCTAAGGAAAATTGTATTTAAAATAAAATAAGAATTGTATAGGAGAATCAAGTTATGCATTGAAAATTAATCTTTTGTTTGTACTATGTATGCAATAATGTCAATTTGCAAGAAAAAAAGTAAAATAAATGCTGAGTTACATTGGGAAGCCATGATTTCAATTAAAATTTCAAAACATAACTAATTCTAAATATTTAAACTAATATAGCAGTTGCCTATCAATTGCTGAATAAATTAATGCTTCATCAACTTCATTCAATGAACTATTTAGAGTGTTATTTGAAGTATTTCCCATTGATGATTCAATAAAGTAGTCGTCAGGCCTTTTATTGAAACAGACCTATTCATTTGATCTATGATTTATAGGATTTCCATTTTTAGTAGCAATCAATTTACCTTTTTCTAATGTTTCAACCTAAAATGTATAGCTCTGCATTTCATTTAAGCTTTGTCTAGCACATTTTATCAAATCAATAACTACTAGTAAAATTATACTTGAAGTTTGAAATTCTGTAGAAGCACATAAATAACCACAAATAGAGATTCCATCAGAATTATCAAAATAATAAGAAGAAATCTATAAATTTCTTTTAAAATGCCAGTTGCTCTAGCTATAGGATCAGCTTCTCCACGAAGTATTGTAAGCACCTTAATTGTTACTATATATCTTGAATAATTTTATTTAATGAACTATAACAAATAGCTTACTAAAAGTAAAATGTGTAAATTGTTATCTTTTATTTTATTTTTCCAATTCCTGTTTACAGATAAGTATAATTGTTTGTACTTTTGTCATATGAATTACATTGTTATTTTTAATTTAATAATATATTAAAAATTAGATACTCCTTTTATAAATAATTGTTGACAAGTTGTTACATGTAAATTATAAAAAAAAAAAATCATAAACATACCAAATATAAGAAATAATTATGCCATATAATATAGTAGTATATCTCCAGACCCTAATGATGTAGATTGTTTTGCAATTAAAACCAGACACCTCCATTTAATAAATATGAGATTCCTGAACTTAACAATCAGATTTTTCAGGTTATTGCACAAAACAACCCAGTTTTTCCTTCTTAATAATGTGCAGTCAAAAATTAATTTTGAAAAATATGGTGTTGTCTTGTTTCCATGGTCCCCATCACAATTTTATTTTTAAATGTTTAATGAATTTTACCATACATTTTTCAGCAATATTATTCTAATAAAAATGGTGTAAGTTTAATTGTACATGTCTTTGCCAAGATGACATAAACATTAATTATTGAATGAAAATCTGTAAAAATTGATTCTCATAACTCTAACCCAAATTTGGGTTATTACTTTATTAGGTTAAAATGAATACATTTAATGAAATTAATGGAAATTATAAAACATTTAATTTGTTAAAAAACAAAACATTTGCTCTTTATAATTAATATATTACATATATTTAAGGAAAACTCTTGTTTGATATAAATCATTCATACACATTTATACATTCATTATACTTAATGATTCTGTTGTACATCATTTATAAATGTGTATTTTATTATATTTCTAAAAAAAAACATCTCCTTCAAACAAAACATTGACAATGATGAATTTTATATTTAATACAAATGTATAGGTACAATGAAGATATAAAAACCAACATTTAGTAAGATTTAATTATCATTAACTTCTTTATTTTAATTTTTGATTCGATTTACAAGAATCAAAATATACATAATACATTGACCCTTTGTTAGAAAAATTGTTGGAGTAAAAATTTGCTACATATTGTGGATTAAGTCGGCTCTTAGTGGCTATGTTTAAGGGGCAATATTTAGGCAATTTATAATCTTGATGCCGCCACCCGTGAACGTTGTGTAGTTGTAAATGATTCCTTGTGTGACAGTGGATTCCTGATCGCCCTGCTGCAGGCGAACAATGTGACTATGTTTCATAGCACATATGCACATGTCAACGTAGGCACAATCATAATTATTATTGTACTTCCATGGGTACAAGATTATGAATAACGCCACTTAGCTGGAGAAAAATTAACATATTTCTAGTATTCCAAATTTAATTTTGAAAAATGATTTGAATTTGTTAGCTTTTATCATATGTTTTGCAGGGGATGGATATTCAAAATTATGTAAAACTTATGTACCGCGGTTCCAAATGAATTTACTTAATTTCTCAAAATGAATATGTACTTTAGAGGGCCAACGAGAACAAAATTAAGTTTTTCTACAAAACATAGAAAACAGGCTAACAAATTCAAATCAGTTGTTAAAATTAAATTGAATAAAGTACTAAATTATCTTTATTTTTACCACCTTATAGGTATAAATGCATAACAAATTATATCTTTCAGAGCTGTCTTAAAATCAATTATAATAAATACACTTTGTTATCACATATTAAAGTTGTCATTTGTCAAAGAAAATATCATTTATTTTTCAGTTTTATGATCGAAATCTTAATTAAGTTTTTAAAATCAATAATTTTTATTCAAACCGCTGCAGTTGTTTTAAATGAAATTAACTTGATTAATAATAAATACCTTTTTCACACATGCCATACATTATTAACTTAATACATGATAGGTATAATCTATTATAATATTTATATTAATGTATATATTTGTTTCAAACCAATAATAGAATAAATAAAAAGCTAGTGAGTGTATGTCGCTCTGATGTACAGTAGGTTACAAGTGGATCACTAAAATGGATGGTGTTAAATTTGAATTCAATGATATAAAATCATAGTATAAGGAAAACGATTATGAGCAAAGACAGTCAGTCAGCCTATAATATTACTTGGTAATTTAGTATATTGGATGTATCGTCAAATATATTGTGATTCATTACATAAAGTAATTTATTTTACTATTAAACATAAGTATTACAGTAGATTTAATTCATTTTTATCCAAAAAAATTACATTTGAAAAGTATAAAATAAACTCTTAAAGTTTCAAGCACACGTGTATAATATTTTTAAATTATTACAAAATAACTTATACATTTTTTGGTTACAGAATTAGCCATTTGTGGGCAACTTTGTTTTAAATTTTTGATCCTTAGCTATAAAAGTTAGACATTTTATAAATATTCAACTACAAAATAATTTGTAAATTTTTAACTCTATACATTTTGTCAACATTTGAAGTTTAACACGTCCGCAGTCAGCCCACTGCTATAACAATAATTTACAAAACCAACGAAATCGGGCTTAACTGCTCATGCAGTTCTATTTTTAATGGTATTAGAAGAGTCTGGAGATAAAATTTATCCATCACGTATACTCATACATTTGGACATATAATGATATCACACAATAATATTATTAAAAACATAACAAAAGAGCAGTAATAAAAAAGTGATATTTTGAGGTGGATACACAAATAATATAAAAAAGTGAGGTGCCCGTGAACATTAAAAAAATTTTTTTTATGCGAAATTGTTCCTATTAATTTTTAATATTATTTAACTGATATTGCAACAATATATCATGAGCCTTATATTAGATTTTCAAGCTTTTAACTTTGATCCAACAAATACAATTTTATTGACATTTATAAAAATAAATTTTAAAAACTGAAAATTAAAAATGTCTGTAAACAGATCAAAACATTTTTAGAGTAACACCAAAAATTAAAGTTGATTTTGTCAAAAACCAATTTTAAGAAAAAAATCCCTATTCATCCTTAATTTTTAGTTTGTTTTCCTTGTCGCTTTTGAAAACTATTGAGAATTTTTTACTTTTGACCCCACCCAAAGTTACATCCACTTTCCTACCAAAATAGATGTTGTTGCAACAAAAGGTGATGACAGCCACAACATTTTTTCAAAAAAACACATATTATTGTAACAGCAATACATTCATCACTCCGCTCAGATTCTAAAACGTTCAGCTATAAGAAACAAACATTTCAATGAAGAGTTAAAAATAACTACCTCATTATCTGCAAATTATAAATGTTGTTTTCACAAATCACATTTAGGTACAGAGTAATAGTGTAATATTTTATTTTAAATATCAAATAATTTTAAAAATAAAATAATAATTGTAATAGTTTTGTTTTACATTAAAAGATAAAATATAAAAGTAATTAAACAATATCGTCAATGATCAAATTCATGATTTAAAATACCACAAATTACATTTTGAGAAACACTTGTGTCTAAATAAGTAGTAAATAGTAATGAATGTTGAATTATAATATTTTAGCCCAAAAGCATCGAATGGCTTAAAAATAACCTATTCTTACGATGACTGCTTACCATTACTGCATGTGAGTATGTTTACTTGTGCCTATTTCATCCAAATTAGATTATTTATTAGGACTTTTTCTAGGAGCTGGACGTTTAGTAACATTGGTATTGGACGATCGATTATTTGTTTGTGGGGATAAGCGCTGTTGAACATTCCCTTTTGTTAAATTTGTATTTGACTGTAAATTTTGTATTAACTGCTGCTGTTGAACATTTGTCCCCGCTAAATTACTATTACTTCCAACATCGTGTTGCAGCTGCACTTGCTGATCTTGCTGTACAATGCTATTCTGAAGAACCTGAGAGCTCATTCCTGGATGTGTAACTTGCAATAGGTTTGAAGTTTGTTGCTTGTGAGTATTTGTGCTAGTTGTTTGTAGATATTGTTGAACTAGCATATTAGTATCTCTATGATCATCTAAATGCAGCTGCTCTTGAGCTGTAGTGGTTTTTATTTGCATGTGTTGAATACTTGTATGCATTGTTAGGCTACTGTTACCAAAGTTGTGTTGTTTTGCTGTTGTAATTTTCGATTTTGATTGCCCTTGCGTTTTATTTAATTTTTGTGATTTACTCGTACTTGGTAACTGAACATTTGTTGGATGGAGATTTGTAGAGTTTGAATTGCTTGTCCGAACATTTGGTTGAACAGGCAATAGGTAAGCATTTTGAAGATTATTAGTTATAGTCACTGCTGGTATTAATCGTATATTTTCTGATTGATATTCGGAACTTAATTTAGATATTTCTTCAGCTGTTAAATTGAATGGTGCAGATCTTAAATTCATACTCAAAAAATTTGGCAGTGTTGATTTTTTAAGCTGATCATTGTTTATTTGATATTCAAAATTATAAGTAGGATTTGGTATTGTTGAACTCAATCCACGTAAAGGTCTCTTTGAATTACCATTGTTATCAATAATATGTTGAGGGAAAAATAACTTAGACAATGGTGAAAGTTCTCGTTGAGATTTTCGTTGTTCACTTTTCATTTGTGAAGCTTTCTCTCTGTTTCTCTTAGGCATTGGTTTAAGACTACCTGATTTATCAGGAATGCCTATTGTATACACTATATTGTTGATCATTTTCAAGGATATTAGACGGTCAAATGGAGTATCAAATCCTATTACTTTACAGGAGGATTCTAAATAATTCCTAATGAAAAAAAAAAAACAAGTGAAATAAATATTATATAATATATTGTATATATTAAAAAAAATTTTTTTACTTACAGTGTAGTGTCACATTTCAAGACAACACCACTTGTCAGTGAAACTAATAATATATCTGCATTTAACCACGCTAAATCCGTAAAAAACACGTTACCAACTCTAATCTTCCATACTATTTCACCAGTTGGTACATCCCATACTACTATTTCTCCGCTACCAGCTGAAAACAAACATTTCAAAATAATATAAACTAAACTGTATAGATCAAATATGAAATATTATAGAGTAGACCAATTTATCCTTCTCAAAATTAAAATAGTACTAATATATAAAACAATACATTTACAGATATTGCTGGAATTATATATGTTACAGTTAAAGTGTTGAATCAGTTAGTTTATGAAATAACTAGGTAATTTATAAAATAATTAAAGCTTGTAGGTAATGTATATAATTTATACTTTCACTAGTTATTTTATACATTCCCTGGCATCACTTTGTTAATGTGTCAAATTGTAAATAACAAAATATCATGATAAATAAATATAGTTCTAATATTTTCAACAATTTAATAAAACATATTAAATCAGATAAGATTGACGTCCTTTTTTTTATTTTTTATTTATTTGATACCTACTTACACTTTATAATTACAGGAGTGTTATTACAACAATACTTTTGATCCCAGTTCACAGTATGTTCAGAAAATTTGTTAGCAGTAGAAGCTGTTCTAAATAAAAGTATTACATTAAGATCTGCGGCAATCAGTTACTGGGAACTGGTCAGGTTTTTTTTAAGTGTATTTGTACCAAAAAATGTGGCACAAAGCGATATGTTTGTAGAAAAAAAGAGGTATTGTGCAACTCTAAATGCCATAATAGCCTTACACGAACAAATAAATAAATAATATAACTATAGTTAATTCAGTAAAATAAAACATTTTAATATATATTTTAAATTTTAATGTATTTTATACTTCATGAAATACCTAGTTATTTCATAAAATAACAATTGACTTCAACACTTTAGCTGTAATATATATGTAGCAAATTTTTTCTATAAAAAACAGTTGTTTGTACCTAAAAAGTAGTTTTAAATGGGCTACCTTAGAAACACTAGGCAGTAAATATATTATTTTGAAATATGTTTTCATAAAATAAACAAAAATATTTAATAATATCACATACCTTAACAAATTCCTTTCCTACCCTGACCAACCCTCCCCTACAAAAAAAAATAAAAACTTACAAGCAGATGCCAAATAATTAGCATTTTCAACATTGAACTCTAAACATGTAATATAATCAGAGTGTCCAATTAAAACTCTATGGCATTCACCAGTTGTAAGTTCAAACACTCTAATAGTCTTATCCGATGAACCAGTAGCTAAGAGCACTTGATTTGGATGGAATTTTAGAACCTGAAATATAATTTGTAAAAATATATATTTATTATTTATTATTTTATTTCATTTTATTATTAAATATACGGGATATAACCCTTTAACACAATAACACATTATATTCATAGACATAACTTAAGATCAGAAGTATATAGTTAAACAAAACAGCTATAAAGTAAGTAGATACGAAGGGTCAACATTGGCATTACTCATCATACGTGAAATCAGTTCATTTTTAAGATAGTTTGTGGAGGCAAAAGGGACATAAAAAGGAGCGACAGATCGGGAAGGACATTGAGGAACACGAAAGCAGATTAAAGAAAACAATTCCGGAGAGTCGATAATTCCATCTAATAAATTTTTTAAAAATTTGATGTCCGCTAACCGCCTAAGCTCAGCCAAGGAAACCAGTCCCAGCTGAGTAGCAACTGGTTCGTAGTTATGAGGTTCACAGGGGATATTCAAACGAAATCCAGCATACTTCATGACCCTTTCTAGCCTGACAGTCATTGTTGTCATGAGGATTCCAAATAACGGCACCATATTTTAAAATAGGGCGTACGAGAGCACAATAAAGTACCTTAAAGGATAAGCCTAATTGAAAGTCTCTACATAGTCTCAATACAAATCCCACAGTTTTAAAAGCCTTGCAACAGATATGTTCAATGTGGGGACTCAGATCGAGATTACTAGTAAGAATAAACCCAAGATCAGTAACACTGCCATTAGAGCATGCGATAGCAGTTGGCCCAAGATGATATGCATATTTGACAGGGGACTGAATTCTAGTATAAGTCATAGTCTTACACTTCGAAACATTAAGGGATAAGCCTAGAGTATTGAACCATTCAGTGAACCGATCAAAATCAATCTGTAACAATATACAGTCATCTAAGGAGGATACACAAGAGTAGAGTTTAATATCATCGGCAAAACACAAAATATGACTATTGGATAGAACACTTGACACACTATTTATAAATAAAGAGAAAAGGAGCGGAGATAGGTATGAACTACTAAAAGATTAACTTCATAGTCTTACTAAAATATCATCGAGATGACCCATGAAAATTCTTAATGGACGTTTGTAGTTCAAAAACCATAAACAGCTAGCGCCCTCACAAGATCCTGTGGCCACTTGCAAACTGTATGGACAGGCAGCAATACACCATGTCCTATGTTCATGTTCACTAAAAAAAAAAGTTAATGGTTAAAGTTCTTTCAGAAGACTCTAAGAACAATTTTACAGGAGAAACAAAACAAAATTTAATTTGAAATGATTTTTGAGGACATATTAATTAATATTATATTTTTATTTAATCAACGTTCAGTTGTAGAAATAGTATAATTTTTTTTATAAATTAATATGTAGAGTCATATTATAGACTCCTAAGTTGTATAATTTTTATATTTTCTATATAAATAGTTACATAAGGTTTTTAATATTCAAGCTAGTAATTTTAGCAAAAGGATGTTTGATTTATACCATTTAATTGGTTAATGAGAAACTTAAACCATGAAAACAAAATTAATATTGTTTATATTTTAAAATATAATTTTATTCAACAAATAAAAAAAATTTTCAAAAAAAAAAAAAACAATAACATACAAATGTATGGAAAAATAAAATGGAGTACCTTTTGCTTTCATGACTTAATAATTAATATATAATATGAATTCTATAGTGATGAATATTATTTTTGTATAACAATTATGACTATTGCAAAATCTTGCACTATTTCAGAAATTTTAACTCACTTGTATACTTCTAAACATCGTTTAGATACCATGTCCCAAGCTCTGTAGGTTTTGTCATTAGATGCACTGACCAAGATTTTAGCTGATGGTAATTCAGCTAAATCAAATATAGGTCCACTATGTCCACGTAATACAAAGGCTGTACTTTTGTCCAAACTAGTACAAAACATTAATAGTTCAATCATTTGTCTATAAAGACAGGTTAAATATGGTAAAAATATTTACTATTCAATAAAATCGTTTCCTTGAACTGATGACGAAGAATTGCTGGGATTTATATTTTCAATGTTATGTAGATTATAAGTTCTGTCTGATTCAGATTTCTTATTATCTCTCTCCCATAGATAAATTAAAGAATCTATTGAACCAGCAATAACCAAATTTTGATCAATAGTCAAAATAGAACACGATACTCTATAAAGCAACAATATATTTTTTAAAGAAACATCAATACTATATCAAACTTATAAATTAAGATATGCTTAGAAAATTATAATTAAATATAAAAATGTTGTTTATTCGTATTAAAATGTATATTAAAGTAATTATTTGATATTATTGATTTAAAAATTCTTCATTAAACACTTACTTGCTACAGTTTTTCAAGATTATTTTTCGACTTAAAGATAGATCCAAATCTTCATCAAGGTTTTTATAATCGATTTTGGTAATTTTCATGTGTTTCAAACGACGTGAAGTTTCCTTTAATATGTTAATGAAATAGTTTTTAAATAATTATATAAATTAAGGACAAATACAAATAAGAAAACTAGATACTTACATAACGTAACCGTTGAGCTGATTTTTTGTTATTTCTTACGTATTTACGCATCTCAATTTCTTCATCGCAAGTTGAGTACAATGAACTTGAATCCTCCAAAGAATCCTTAAATTTATAACTGATTAGCTCATCTTATGAAACAAGGGTATTTTATTTTTACTCTTACTTCAGCTGAATAACTATCACTTAGAGTACTATCTTTATCAATGTGCTCGTATTTTCTTCTGTCATTCGATTTATAGTTTTTTTTATCTTTAATAGGGCTTTCTTCATCCTTTGGTATCATCAAAAAATGCACATTATTAAAATTGTTTTAATATTCTTTTCTATTAGGATTCTATTTTATTTTATATTCTATTTAATAATCAACATTGTACTTAATTGTCTACTTAGAAAAATTAAAAAAAACAAATTGTTATATTGTTTAAAAATGGCATATTAATTTTGTTCTTACTTCAGACTAGCTTTCACACAAACTTCTATCATCTATAATATTATGGTCAGTTCTTGCCTCTTAATGTATTTTTTTGTTGAGATTTTTAAAATTTTCGTTCTACACTCTCTCTCATCAGTCTCATTCGAAAAAGTTTTATCACACATTGAAGATGTTTTTATGATAACTAATTTAATATAACATAGCATTTAAAAATAAAGAAGAATTTGTTAATCTCGGGATGAAAACAAAAATGTAGGCATAATTATGTACCTTTATACTTAAAGGTTATTACTATCTGTCATGAGAGACTCTTTGCTATATTATTATTTAAGTGTTTTGACTCTTAATGTTTCCATATCAGTAGACTAATTTAAAATTGTAAACATTATAAGAATTTAATTATTGATCTTCCATATCTTAGTAACTTAATAGATTGAAAATGGGTTGATTAGTAAAACTGTGTAATAATGGGATATACTTTATTCTTACTTCAGATATAGTGTGATTATTATCATCAATGGTAGATTGAGTTTTGCTTCTTTTATTTTGAAGTTTTTGAGTTTTTTCATCATCATTTGATATCTTCAAAAAGGTATACAGATAAAATTATTGTTTAAATCTTTCACATATTACTAGACTGGATATAAATATGGCATTTATTTCATTTTTTTAAAAATATATATTAATTATATATTATAATTCTAGCAATTTAAAAAGTATTTTTAGAATAAGCATTAATAAAATCTACAAATAAAAGTAAGATCATATTTCTCTTACATCAGACAACCCACTATGCATATCAACATCACTGATAGATTTACTTTTGATACTTTTCTTTTGTCGTTTATGCATTTTTTTTTCTTCATTTGACACCTTCAAAAACGTATACTGTTATATTATTAATTTTCATTTTTCACTTATAGCTATACTCTATTCAAGTTAAGAACTATACTCGGCGGCCAAATTGTGCATAACACGGCAGGTTTATAGATGGGGTGTCAAAGAGGTGTTTAGTGTTGACTGACTGCCTCTAGATGTAACCTGGTCAATACCGAGTACGATTTTTAAGTTGAATTAAGTATAGTTTATGGTTTAAGGATATTTTTTACAATATTTGTATTACACTGTGTACAGATACCCTGGCGGTTTTAAGAGATAAGAGAAAATGATAGAAGTGTTGATACGGCGGTAACCCTATTACCTCCTTGATGTGGTGTTGCATAACAAAGTCGAGGGATATTTTCATTTTTTTTTTGGTCCAAGTGCAGAGCATTCTTGCATGGGTTACACAACACGTACATTTACTAGCCAGGTATCGAATATATAGGGTGATTTTTTGAGTATGATCATAATGTTTTATGCTTAAATTATGCATTTATTAAAATTCAGATTTTTGGAATTTTTAAATACACCTGAACACCTTGAGAACATCTTGAGATAAAACAAACGTCAATTTTTCAAATAGGAATCTCCCTTTTTCATTTTTAATTATTAAGTAGATATTTTTTTGAGAATTTTGATGTATCAAAATCAAAACCCAAGCTAGTAGTTTTTGAGTTATGTAACTTACTGTTTTAAGGATAATAATATGTCTATGGTAATAGGTTAAGTAGACAATAGTGTAGTGGCCTTAGACAATTTGAGCAATTACTATTGATTTATCAATATAAACAATTTTTAAAAATGAGGAGTTTAATAAACACTACATCTAACATAACATAATATAGATTTATTTTTATGAAACCATTTTTGAGACTTATTATTCTAAGTATAAGCATTTTAATAACTCAGTAACTACTCATAAAAATTTTGATTTAGAATATTTTCAAAAAAACCATCCTCCAAATAATTTTCGGTAAAAAAGGGAGGTTCTCATTTGAAAAATAGAAGTTTGTGTCGTCGTCACAGGAAATTTGAAAATATGGTCTTAAGGTCTACTAAACAAATCTAAAAATCAAAATTTGAATAAATTCAGTATCAATGAGAAAAATGGGGGAGAGCATGCTTAAAAATCACTCGGTACACGCAGATGGGTCCGTGTATGCTTTATCTACACAGGTACCTGGGTATCTGGACATAGCCATATTTTAATTTTATTGTAAATAACAAGGAATAAAAAAAGCTAATATTAATCTTACTTCAGATGAACTTTCATTCGTTTGTGTATTATTATCATCATTTGTAGATTTGCTTCTACCGCTTTTCTTTTGTCTCTTATACTTTTTTTCTTCGTTAATAGATACCTTTAAAAATATATTGCTAAATTATAGATTTTCATCTCTCACTTATCCTACTTTTCTTTTGCCTCCTGAATTTTTTTCTTTATCATCATCAGATATCTTCAAAAATTGTTAAAATATACTGCATTATTATTTTAAACTTGCACTTATAGTGCTATGGCTTGGTGCAAGTAGGGCTTATGTCAAAAATGACATTATTGAGTAATTTAATTTTTAAAATAGAATTATAACAATGATGGATTTTACGTTTAAAGTTGTGGAATATTATATTAACTACAATTGTTAAATTAATGTAGGTAATACAGTGTGAATAGTTATAACATATATATTTTTAATTTGTTCAAAAACCCCCCAAGAAATTTTTTCCTGTGTTCGCCCCTCGAACATAAGGTTAGTAACTTATAATTTTGAAAGATAATTGATTGGTTTTGAAATGTAATTTTATCAATTAGTGTAAAAATGGCAAATATCTGCATTAATTATTTGCCAAATAATCTCAAATTCGTTGAAATGTGACATTGGCCCTTCTCAAATGAATTACAGAACTAATCAAGTTATAGATCAACCATATCTTTTATTTAGAAATAAATATTTAAAAATATGAATTAAGTTTTAAAAACGTTTTTATAAATATTAACAAAATCTATAAAATTGGGATTAAATTTTGTTCTTACATCAATTATTGACATGTTAGATTAAATATTAAAAGTAAATCTTTATGATTCAAATAGATACACATATATTAGAGCCACTGTATAAAATTATAAATTAAGAATTATAAAATTGATTTTAAATAATAAAATGATGTTACTATACTTGTTCAAAATAAGAAGAAAAACATGACAGAACTATTTGGAAGAAGGTGGCTGAGTTGTTGGCATGGGTGTGACCTAACGTAATATTTTATTATTTAGAATCATTTATAAAGTTCTTAATAAAGGATTTTATAGGATTTTATAGGATTCTATAAGTTATAGCCTATAGGCATATAATAACAATTTATATTTTAAAGAAAAACTTATAAGCTCATTAATTTACCTAACCTAGGTAAAATAATATATATAGATTTAAATTTGTTATTTAGGTTACTTATTCCTTATACTATATTCCTTTGTATAGAATAGTTTGTATTTGATGAAATGTGAAAATTTAATACAAATAATTTAGCTTAGCTTGGTGGCTACTAATATTTACGAATACAACTAAAGATGCAATGCAGACATGAATATTTACACCTCTATTTTATAACTTTATAATTTTACCATAACACTGTTTAACGACATACTATGAGTTGCCGGCAAGCTAAGTTAAATTATTTATATTACAATATCACACTTAATCATACACAAACAACTAAACAATTTCTATACTAATGAATTTGGAAATTACATTAACCCTCTTGATATCGCCACTTTTTTAATTTTAGTCTTTTTTTCTTAGCGAGGTTTCCACAAGAAGTGTAAACGTAGTTGAACTCCGTCAACAGAGTGGTTTTGTTGGGATAGGTATCACTAATTTTTTATTACAATTTCGGATACAGTTAACCTATGTATTTTTATTGAGTACAAAATTGTGGGGACAAGATATCTTTGTTATATTTTATGCGGCACGAACAACAAAGCAGAATTCTAATGCTATAATACTAATGCAGTGTGGCGATGGCGATACAATGAATGCATGTCAACTACGATTAAAGATCGACGTGATCTGGTGACCTTTTTAATCTACAGCACTTTTGGCGGTAAAGTAAAATTCGTTAAGGTCCCCACACACGGCAGCGGTGGCGGTGAAATTCTTTTGTCTTGGCAGCGGTGGCGGTGAATTGTGTCCGGACTTATTTTACCGCCACCACGGCAGTGTGTGGGGACCTTTAAAATTGTATTCAATTATAAAGTCATTAATTATCAATTTGATTTTGTTATTTACTTATAATATTTGTTAATTAGTATACAAACTTGAAACTTTAATAAGATGAGTACATGACACATCAATAAAAATACTCCACTAAGAGTGCTAACAGTGGTATTAGTACTTGATTCATTTTCTATGCAATCTTATTAGAGCTTGTTGGCACGGCTCTAGATAGTATGGTTAAGTAACGAAACGAGAACAAGTGGGTCCAGAATGTTTTCCACAAAATACCTAATATTATGAAGCGCTCTAGCAGATTTATATAATAACTAATCAACTGACAAAATTATAGATATTAATAAGTTTCAAACTGTAAGGTGTTTTAAACAAAATGATAGATGGTGCTGCAGAATCTTAGGTAAAACTTCTGATTACTGGAGAACACTTGTAGGTCATAAACATCCTGTAGAATGTAATATAATGTAATGTAATCCGTGATGTAGTCTCATGTTCGTGTATTTATATGTACGGAACGGTCGACGTTATTCCCACTGCCACGCACTGTATAAATAGCGAATGCAACTAACGTGCGGCGGAAATTATATGCTTAGTCTGAAATCATAGTCAGGTTGTTTGGAAGAGGAAATATGAGCGGCCAGCATAAACGCGATGGGGAGTACAACATAATATTATTATTGTTAAATTGTTGCAAAAAATAGCGTTTCGATCAATAATTATGCTAATACTTTTGAATACTACTCAAGCTGTAATCCTACGATCAACTTACAACCTAGCATACAACTGATCAACCTGTGTACATTTCAAGTTAATCATTTCATTAGTTAAGGCTACAGAGGTCGGACCGTTTTTCGTAAAATTACACATGTTCAAAAACGAATTGACCGTATCGTTTAACTTATTATAGTGACCACGAGTCACGAGCTCTTATTTTCACTTAGCTCTGTGTCGCGACTGTGGAGCTTGATACGCTCTACAAAGTATTTGTTGTAGAGATATGTTAGGTTATAACTGGTTATGGTGGTAGAAAATCTTAGTGATAATCAATGATGTAAATTGTATAATATTGTATTACACAAAAGTATTATATGTCATATTGTATAAAAAAAAACCAGTGATAAGTAGACCTATAAATCAATGGACAGCGTCTTCCACACCACCTTGTCAACAGTTCACGGGGACGAGATGGAGTGAGTGATAAAACACTGTAACGTTCCAAACGTATAGGTCTCTCTCTCTTAGCTCCATTAGATTCTAGGTATATTCTCAAACGCGTAGTTATTTTTCTATCGGCTATCTCGTTCACTGGTTTCTCTCTTTAAGCGCTATCCACTAGTTTATAGGTCTATAATATAGAGTAAGAACATATTATAGAGAGGCCATATCGTATTTACTCGATGCAATCGTTTTGAAGTAAGGAAAAGGTGGACCCTCAGAGTGACCACTATGTTAATATAAAATGATCGAACACAATTTTATAGCATTTTGTGGCAGATTGTTTAAGTAATATTTTCCCTACATTTATTCTCCGCATAATATGTATAGACGTACAAACTTAATAATACTTATAATATTACTGACGATTTGTTTTTATTCTTTGGTCACTATGCATCACCCCCTTTTGCTTGCTTCACCTGTGTTATCCTATAGCCACCATTTGGTCTATACTCTACACTATGGATAAATAGGCCGATAGTAAACATAAAATATACGCAATGCAAAATGTTTCAGCTGATATCAGCGAGATAACGATGGAGTACAGAAGCATAAGTAACATGGTTATTGGTAGGTCACTGGAACGATTATAAAGAACTTAAGTAAACATTTATTGTAAATCGTTATTGACAATACTATCTTTAATCATGGTAAATCGTAGTCTTCTTAGCGTTCTTTATAATCGTGTAGGTAAGTAATGATGACTAAGGCTCGGAAATGAATGCACTTAAAAAGTACTAACTATGCATGCATATTACAAATATACTCTAAAATTAAGCATTTATTTTTTTTTTTTTACTCACAACTTTCATAAATACAAATATGTTTTATACTTCTTACTAAACATTTATTAATAAAAATGAAACATTAAAGTATGTCAACTATTTAAAAAAAAAAATAATAATAATATCTAGTCAAAACTCTCAAAATAAAAAAAAAAGTTATAATTTATTAAAAATTGCTGAGCAATCTAGTTTACTCTAAAAGCTAATAATAAAAAAATTAAAAATAAATTGTACTACAAATAGAACTCAATATGTTTCATTAAATGACTATATGAGTAACAAATCTTATATAAACTGTGGTGTACCACAAAGCAGTGTCCCTGGTCCCATCTTGTTATGGTCCAAAAGGGAACTATACATTTTAGCCGAAAAGTTTATTAAATAAAAACCATAACCGATATTTACTAATTTTAAGTACAGCATTGAGGCTTTTTTTAAATTTTTTGGAATACAACGATACCTTGACAATTATTGTAGAATGCATTAAACGAGGTTACATAGTTAACATTACAATGTAAATAAGGAAACTAGCCTTCAATATAAATGATAATATTTTGTCAAAAAAAATTAGATTTTGAGTTGAGAATGGGGAAGAGATTAGTAGGTTCATTCGAGGATTTTAAAGAGTTAAATAAGGTTCAGTGTCCAAGGTGGAGCATTCAAAAAGAATGGGGGAGAGTAGAGTCGTTTAACCCAAGTCTGTAGGAATTATTAAGTAAAAGTGAGTTCCTATGCGTAATCGGTTATATTAAACTACAGAGGATCTTGGTAGATTTAATTGGTTAAACCATGTTGAGTAAAGTAAGTTCGGGGTGATGTTTTTATATCTTGTGGTAAATTCCACGGGGAGATTCACCCACTACGAAGTGCAGAGGTTTTTAATATGAAGTTAGAGGAATTTGGGTAATAGCTGAGTAGATAAGTTGGACGTAGATTTGGCTGGGCTATCAGCAACCTCTTTGTCTTGAATCCCAATGTAACTGGGAATTTTAAGAAATTGTATTGTGTAGTTTGATTGGAGGAGTTTTAGGATAATATTTTTTTAATACGAAGCACTAGAGGGGATAAGTAGGAGTTTAAAGGATGAGAATTAAGATATCACAGACATGACATTGAATCAGAGGTTATTAGGTATTAATTTAGAGGAAAATTTAAAATAATGTTAACTCTTCGATGATGGGGCGACACTCCGTGGCGAAAGAAGAAAAGGGAGGAGGGAGGTTGTTGGTTAGTAATGAAATGACTTAAGTTAGCATCAAGAAAATCAGCGAAAATTTGATTGACCATACCATAAAATATTGCCTCAAGATCTTTGAAAGATAAAAAAGAAAATAGGTTTTCTATATGAGCAGATAGTGAACTCAGGAGAGAATCGTAAGATTGTTCATAAAGTGGGAGTTTGTTTATTTTCATAATATATTGATGTGAACTCCAGAAAGAGTACGAAGTAATTGAAAGAATAGGTGTAGATTTAGGAACATATCGCCAATTGAGGGATAGTGAGTAGAACATGTCGAATATAAAATGGATGGACTGAGCAAGTGACTTTATGAGCAATTTATTGGCTAACCAACGACATCTAATGTCGAAAAAAGCGCAGTTAGATTCTACGTCAATGGCAGAGCAAGGAGTTGATCTAAATAAACCATAATATTTCTTGGGCAAGCATATTTTAGTTTTGTTTTTTTTTCAGTGGAAAGGAGGCAGAGCCGAAGAAAAAACAGTTATCTACGAGAGACCGATAAATAAATGCTTACGAAGGCGGGAGCCCCACCAAGTTTTAGTTATTATCCTGAAGAAATAGGACTAGTAAGATGCAGTAGCTGTGAGCGAGATTATGTGAGGAATTCGTTCAAGTTTGGGATCTAAAGTGATACCCAGATAAGTGATATTGAGAACGCGGGGAATAATATTATTGTTAAAAATTACGTTAAGATCAAAAAAAAAATCTTCATCGAGTGAAAATAACGGATTTGCATAGTTCAGGTGCCAGTTCAAAAGAAACCTTATCCAAGATGATTTTCAAATAATTTAGTGCAAGGTTTAAGAGACAAATAGCTTGATTTCGAGATTTACTGAAAGTAAAAATTACCATACTGTCAGCATAAATGAAACACTGATGTCCATGAGACGTTAAATGTTTTTCAATTATGCTCATATTAATGTTCAAAAGATTTGGACTGAAGCAACTACCTTCTGAAAAGCCAGTGAAAGCAGTACGAGTATTATATGAGCCAAACTGAGAAAACTAGGTTTCCTCTAGTTGTAGATAGAGAGCTATGTATTACAAAACTTAGGAGTTAAATGTAGTAAGGAAAGAAGTGAAATAAGAGTATTGATATTGACGGAGTCAAAAGCGCCGCGTATATCTACAAAAGTAGCCACGAAGATTTATTTGTTATTAAAGGCATGATAGATGTGTTTGATGAATGTTGAGAGATATTCCATAGTGCCAAGGTATGGACCTTTCCTGGAGGCGAAAAGATTAGTTGGTAAAATGGAGTTAGTTTCGAGCCACCAATCGAGCCTAGATTTAAGCATATGTTCAAAAATCTTGCATTAGGAAGACGAAAGCGCTAAAGAAAAGAGGAGTGGAGTTATTTTTGGGTATAGGAACTTTATAGAAGCTCCGTGAAAGAAGAAATAGTTGAGTAGTAACAATGTTGATCATTATGGTGAGAGAGACTAAGGCGTTATGCGGGAGGTGTATTAACATAACTAGAGAAATATTGTTGGAAGCAGGGGATTTCCTTGAGGCGATGGCAAGGTTTAATTCAGTCGTATTGAAGTCTTTTGTGAGGGAGAGATTCCGTACAGGAGTAACGAAGGTGGAGGTCGGATTCAGAAGGGGAAATTTTCGAATATAAACTATTTATCGTTGTTCGGGTGTACGGGAGGAGTTATGCAATATTTGAACCCTCGGGGTGTAGACCAAAGGTGTTAGATTGACTAAAATGGGATATTAGGTTTGAGCATAAAAGATTCAAATTATTTATTTTTTCGAGTTCGTGCTGTGATAGCTCAAGCTTTTTGGTATGAAAGAAAGTCGGACATAGGGCCAAAATGTCTAAAAGCTCTAAAAAGTAAGGATATGATTTAGCGAGATTCAGGGCAAGAAGAGTTGCAACCAAGGAGGAGAAGGTGGAAAAGATATCTCATTCTAACTCTTAGTGGGTATCGATGGTATTGCCAGCATTAACAATCATATCATTGAAAGACGTGTAAGATATAGTTGAGAATCGGTCGCTAGATAAGGAGGAATTACAAATATGTATTTGTTGAGAGAAAAATGCCCAATCAGCTTTGTTGAGATTATAATGAATTGGTTTAAACTGGGTCAGTGGAAGACGAGGAATTTACGTGAGAAGAACGGCAAAAGTTGATTTTTATTATGATTGGAACATGATCACTACCACGAGGATCAATAAAGAGTGTGCCAGAATAGTTTCCATATTAGATCAGGGGAGCAAAAAAACATTGAGGTTATATAGGTGATTTCAAAATTAATTTTATAGGCTTGTGTGTAATTAACTGTTAATTTAAAAATTAATCAAAATTGCTCATTGGAATTTTTCATTGTTAAAATTGAAAATAATAAAACTTGATGTCCAATTTTAAGTCTACCAACTTGACACAAAATTAATTTAATTTAACGAATTTATGAGATGGAGGTTGATACTAAAACATCTTTATTGGTAAGAATATTGATGTTTTCACAGGGGAGAGTCAATTTCCAGATTTGTATAATTTAGAATAAATTAATAGACAACTTTCTATAACGCTAAAAGACTTTGATAAAATTTATAATAATCGTCTCAAACAATTAAAACTAAAATGGCTGTTTATGATATTAAAGTACAATATTTACCAGACAACAAATGTTTACAACGGATTATTTGTTAAACTACATAGATAGTTGTAAAATAGATGATAAATGTATAAATGACTAGGTTCGTGTAATAAATACTAAAAATGTAGAATTTAGAAATGAAAAACATGAAGAGTTTACAAATAAAACTATGTCTGACCCCCCAGTATTAGGTAATGTTATGAAATATTATTATCTAATTGGCCAATTGATAAAACTAAACTTTTAAATCATAGATTCTTAACCTTTTCTGGGCCATGGACCCTTTGAAGTATAAAATATAATCACGGACTCCCCCCCCCCCAACAAAAAAAAATATTAATTTAATGATAAAACTAGGACTTAATACAATATTAAATTATTGAGATTAATCACTTTTTATAATAGTTGAAAACGAAATTTGATGTGACATTTGCTGCTTTTTGATTGCAATATTGCCTTGAAATTTAGGACCGCATTAGACAGAGCAATTCGCATATCGTCATTAATGCCCAATCGATTTCTTGCTTTAGTTTTAATTGTGACCATTGTAGAAAATCCAGACTCACGGAACTATGTAGTAGAGAATATGAGCAGAGTGGACCCCAGGTCAAGAACCTATGTTCTAAATCATATGTTTACGCATAATGCTGGATTAAAATATTCACCAGCCGAAATATTACAGAATCGAAAACTTCGAACATAACTATGAAGATATAAAAAGAGAAAAACGTTATTCCCCAAAATTGATAATACGAATGAAAAATTAAATAATTTTACAATGTAATTTTACATTCATGGTAATAACATTGGGCATCGATATTTTCCTGTATATTATTATTGTTCTGTGCTTTTTGTGAGCGAAACTATAGGCAATGAAGTATAGGACTCTACAATTTAAAACCGTATCCATAATCTAAAAGAATTTTTTTAACACGTATTTATCTTTGGTACGAAATCATAAAGGCAGACACAATCAATTGACCACGAGTGACATGTGATGGCTGTTTACATTTATTCAAAGTTTTTATATATGGTATATTATTTACATGTTCCTATACTCTGGTCAGCTAAAGAACACAATTCGTGAATAAACCCACTCCACCGCCTAGGATGGAATTAATCTTTGCCACGAAATTAAATAGTAAAGAATTTTTTTAACTAGTTATTTACATTTCATTCAAAAGATAAAAAGTGACTATTGATAAATAATGAGTTTTTGATCTAAAAGTACAAGTATTTTGTTCTGGGAATTAAGTCACAAATGTGATATTGAGTTCTAAATCTTTAAAATATAGTAGACATCTTTGTCATGAGTTTTTATTTTGAGTCTGCGACTTAGTTTTTACCAATACATTAATATTATTCGTACTACAATATAATCATTAACAATAATATAGAAATATTTGCATGGAATTTAAAATAAGTCTTTATTATTGTTGATTAAATCTTATAAAATATGGGTATTATTGAAATCTTACTTCAGATGATTCTTCACATAAACGACTATCTGGATCACTGGTAGATTTTTTCCTGTAGCTTGATTTAATTTTCTTTCGCAGTTGTTCTTCATTATTTGACGTCTACAAAAACATTTATAGTTAAAATTAATTTTTAACAGCCTATTCAACAATATGATAGTATAGATTATGTGTTTTTAAATTTTTTATCAGTAATATCAATAAAAATTGTATTATATTATTGTAAATTAAAATCAAAAAATAATTTATTTTACTCTTACATCATTAGAGCTTTCTTGCAAACAATCAGGGGTCGATTTTTTTTTGCCTCTTGATTTATGTTTTTTTCGGTGCTTACGAGACTTTTTCCTGTTATTTGTTACCTTAAAAATACAAATACATAATCAAATTCTTTATAATTTTCCATTTATATTTGATTGGTACCTAAAAAAAAATATTTTAATATTATAGTATGCCTATTTCTTTGATAAAATATTTTAAGGATCAAACAGTTTTTGGTAATTTATACTTGATACATTAACTTAACATAGTTAAAACTATTCAAGTTACAAATGTTTTAATAATTGTCAACAAAATAGCAATACCTATTATAAATATATAATATTAATAATGGATTTTGCCTAAAAATTCAACTCTGATAAATGTATATTACATAAATTAAACATAACATCATAAATGCTTTTACTTTTACATAATACATTAAAGTACTGTTAGTACTGTGAATACTGTAATAAAGTTAAATACAATGTAATCAGATAGGTTCTGTATAAATAAAGAAACAGACAATATTTTTCTATTAAGAGAAATTAACACAAAGAATCGTGTTTCACATATAGTTGTTTTACAAAATATTAATTTTGAATTCTTTTAAATTTCTTAATGTTTAGTTCCTCTTTTTATAAGTAGGGTTTATTACAATTACCTGTCTTTTTGTTAAATTTGATAGTCAAGTCACAAACAAGAATAACATTTTTTACTTAAATTGTTGTTAAATGCTAGTGTACTATTTATAGTATATAAAACTAAATTGTTAATATTATTAATGATAGTATAAGGTATACTATTTGAATCTAGATCTAAGTATATCAAAACTGCTCAGTGGAAAAAATAAGCTATAAATCCACAATTTAAAATTTTTTTTGAAAATAATGTACACAGTAATCAAAATAAATTGTCAAAATTGAACAAAAAAAAAATTAATTAAAAAAAAAAATATATGATCAAAACCTAAATACTGGCCATGCCAATAATCAACTCAGAACCATATCTAGTTAAATTGCAATGCTTGTCTACAGTAAATAGGTTCTTATTCTTCACTGAAAAAACTTTTTAAATATTCCAAGAAGTAAATGTTCCATATTTACAATAACAGTGTAAAATAAAACAAATAATAAATAATTAACTGTTAAGGTAAATTATGATTGTAAAATATATTATATAGAGTTTTAAATAAGGACAAATATTTATGTAATACGGTCAAAATAAATAAGAACAAAATGAATAAAACAATTACTTGTTCTTCGTTTGATTTCTCCTGAATAGGATTTTCTGGATCATCAGGTTCTTTCTTCTCATTGCCGGCAATCTTTTTGAAAAAATATTTCATTATAATAAAACATAATACTGCGTACGACATTGGGGAAAATACATTACTATATCAAGATTACAATTCTGGTAAAATTGATTTATTGAACTTGAAACTTAGTTGCCATGATTGAATTTACTATTACAATTTTTTCAAATATTTTGCAAAATTGTCATTTAAAACTAAACATATTGTATAGTTTTTTAAATGTTCACCTACAACATTTTTAAATTTGGTATATTATTACCAAAGTACCTAATGATGGGTAAATCATTTTTAGAAAAAAGTAGTGTCCTAATCACTGACTTTTGACATATATAATACTATATATAATTACTTGGCTAATGTGATTATTAACCACAATGGTATAACTCTAATTCTGCACAATATTAATTTGTTCAAATAAATATTGCTATGAAATGGAAAATAAATATGTAAATAATTTTAAATCCTAAATAATATCTATAAAATGTTATTGTCAATATTCAAAACTATAATATAATGAAAATCAATTATTTTTTATAAATTAATTGAATTTTTAAGACAATATTATTAAATTAGTCAAAAAAAATTAGCTCATCATGACAACTGTATTACAGTTCAAAATAGTCAATGTATAAACAATATTGGTATAAACTTAGTTTTAGAAGAGTTTAATAATAATTTTAAATTAAAATATAAATTATAATTACAACGCGTAATCTGTTAAACTTTCTTGAAATCCGTAATATTATCCTTTCTTCTTTAACTTCTTCCTGCTTAGATGAACTTTGTCCTTCTCTAAGTGACTGTTTAGTCAACATTATAATAATAATTAATTTGTAATACATTTTATAAGAATTTAATACTTAAAAATAAAAATAAAATATGATGTTGATTTACTTCTTCAGAAAATTTTCCATTTTCTTGATCATTTATAGATTCCTCTTGTGAACTGGTATCATCAAATTTTTCAACGCAGAATTTCTATTCATTATTTAGAAAACTTGTGTGAAATTAATGTTTAACAATTTGTATGTATAAATTATATGTTCACTATCATATAAATTACCTTAAGTCTTCTTGATTCTCGTTCATAGGATGAAGGACGATCTCTGTCATGTTTCATATGTTTTCTTTTGATATTGTTCTTATTGCAAGTCAAAATAATGAATACATTATTATTTTATATCTCAATATTTTGGTTTAAAAATAAATAAATATTTGGATAATATTGTATTTTGAATGTAATAAAATAAAATAAAACTCAAATTAAAAAATTAACAATATATAGTCGGTATCTTTTTTTTTTTAGAAAATCATTTTAATGAAACATTTAATACTTTAACCAGGCTAAACATATATGACTTTTAACTAAACTAAAATATCCTTACAGATATTTCCATGATGCAGATAGTGATTCTATTTTAAAGATGCATGAAAGTAAGTTATTATACTGAATACCAATAATATTACACCTAGATAAATTGTATGTAAAAGTGCCGATTTTTATATCACATCAGCCAATATTGTCATTATGTCTGATTTTGTTACAGCCAGTATGTTAATAGATGATAACAACTATACTAAAAAACATATAACTAATAATTTTTATACAATTTCATTTTTCTACATAAAATATTGTATACTAAAGCGCACTTTTCAAAAAATTATTTAATAGAAATTAAAGAGCACAAAAACTATATACTAAATAAATTTAGAAATAAAATTTGTATTAATTGAAAATGTTGAAAAATTGTCATTTCTTAAACAATACTAATTCAGCTGAATTTATTTTATACAAAAATATTAAAAATCCACATATCATTTCAAATCCCAATTTCTAAGAACTATAATTTAAGAAAGGATTCTAGATATACAACATATAAAGATCAATTATCTATATTAATAAATAGAGAAGAAAAATTGTTAAAATTTTTTTTTAAAAAAAAATTTCCGTCAGACCGCTACACTATTCCAAGGAGATCCAAGGATTTATTTATTTTTTCTCAAAAAATAGCTCTTCATTTTTTTTATTGCAAAATTTAGAATGTTATATAGAACACAGACAAATAATAATAAAAATAATGTTCATTATAGGATTGCTATTGGTAACAAAAAATAAAATAGTAATTACGATTAAATATAATTTAAGACCTGCATTTTATACGACTGCATTAAAAAATTTCAATGGAGATTAAGATGAGGTAAATCCATGGGAGGTTTTGAACATCACTATGCCAGGTTATAATGACAAATTGAACACAAATTTTGAATCATAAAGAGTTTGTATTTTTAACAGACAACAGAGAGCATGGGGTCAGCTAGTAAAATATATTATTTAAGTCTGAAATTACACTTAAATTAAAGATTTATATTATATGAGTAAAAATTTTAAAGAAATATTGTTTATATTTGCAATGTAAACTGAGAATTCGTAAAATATTTCAATAATTATATAAATCACATTGAATTCTATAAATTATACTACACAAATAGGTTTACTAGCAATCAATTTTGTTCTATCAGTCTGCAAAGATTTTTATCATTTTGGTACTTAATATATTTTTAATATTTGTCCACATGAGTGAATTCTAGAATAGCTGGAGTAATATTTCACTACATATGAGATCAATGGACATTTTCATAACACAGTAAATTATTTCATTAAATTAATAATTAAACATTGAATATGAACTTAAATTTAAACAATAACACAGTATAGCTAGTCTGGGAAAACAAACAAATTATTAAAATGATATTATTTAATTATTTATATTGTATAACAAAAAAAACTTAAATATAAATAACATTCAATCCTGATTACCAATTTCAATTTAAGGATTTTCAAAGCTGAGCACTAACAAGTTAGTTTTAATTTATGTTAGCATTGTAACTTAACTAGTTGAATTGAATGTGTAAAATAATTTCATCCAATTTGTTAAAACAATAAGTAACTAGTTTTTATTTTTATTCCAAAAATACAAATGTTCCATAAATCTGTTGAGTGCTGACTTTTAGTATCTATCTATAGCCATTATCATAATTTATTAGTAACGAATACTGAGTATTTTCAATTTTATGATAAAAACATTTTTCTCATAATATTATTTATTTCTTGTAATACATATTAGCCACAGAGCCTATAATTATAATGGCTAATAGATCTACACATACAAATAAAGTATCATATTAGTAATATATTTCTTATTTGTTATACATTCTGTGGTCTAATGACTGATATTCCAATAAGTTTCCCAAAAATAAGGATTAAATACCTAAATTAAAGTTGAAACATTTTATCAAATTTTCAGTTGTTGAATAAAACTGTTATATCATCACCAAAAATATAATATAAGTTAATACGGAGGCACAAAGTAATTGATTTATGTAATAGCTGACATATTTTGTACAAACTGGTTTTTAAGTTATAAAAAAAACTAACTTTTAACTTCTACTCAAACTTCAGTTATTATTTTCACCAAACTTATTTATAACTAAGTTAAAAATTTGAAACATTTCAGAAACCAACATATATTCCAATTTTGTTAATTTTTATATTTTAGTAACATAACTTTAACTAGTTGAAAAAAATTACTAACTTGCCAAGCTTTGAGGAATTTAAAATTTTGGAATAAGCACAATTAATACAATCTTACACCTTTCATTTAGGAAACAAAACTAAGGAATTATTTATTTAAATTGCATTTTTTAACTGCATTGGTTTATATACAGGCTTTTATACACCGATATTAATGGTATTTTTCTTCAACATTTTAAGTATCAAAATAACATCCAACAATTTAGAATTTGAAATAATAATGGAAATATGAAAGACTAATAGTAATAGTTAAAGTAGTAATGTGGTTAAAAAAATGTTTTTACATTTTAGCTAAAATATATAGCTTAATAATTTCAATTAACCTAAAGAAATTTATATTTTCAGTAAGAAACGATAAATCTTTAAATATATTAAATTAATACGAGAATAATTAAAAAAGTGAATAAACCAAATTATATTTAATGTTTTTAAAACCCAACCAAATAATTATTATAGATTTTACAACTAAGTAAATTAAAAAGAGACCAATTATGTGTTATTCTTAAGTTTAATTACATTCAATATAGCAAATGAGTATTTTAAATTAGGAAATATAATTATAAATTATGGCATTCAAATGTATAAAATATAATATTAAAGCATACCTTTTTTGATCGTCTAGATCTTGGTTTTAGGCGATCTTCCTCGGTTGAAGATTGTTCAGAATTTTCAGTTGACTGTTCACAAATAATCAAGAAATTATTCAATGTCTTTATTTTAAAATACATAATATTTAAAAATAATTACTTCGTCTAGTTCTGAACTCGTATAATTTGTTTGTGAATCTTCTGAAGCATTGTTAGCCAGCTAAATGTATTAAGTATTTAAAATAAAATACAAACATTTTACTATAGTTTTAACATATACAAAATTAAAGGATTGAAGTAATAAAATTACTTTTCTGGAATTAGAGCTGGAGCCAACAAAATCTTTACTCGTAGAAGCACGTTGATTGTTGTAATACTTGATTTTTAATCATTAACAAGAATAAGATAAAATTAATAATCTAGTAGGGTAAATATACAATTAGACAGCAGAAGAAGTAATTCACAAGCAGTCCCCCTCCCCTATTATTAGACAGTGTCAACAGTGGTTCAACAAAAAATAGAATGTTAAGCTTAAGTTAATATTGAATTTATTTTGACTCCAATTGTTCTGAGTACAAAATTAATTTTATTGGTTTAGATCAAAAAATTAATTATAAAAATTTGAGTTTAATTTATTGAATTTCTAATCAATATATTTGTAATTGAAAAAAAAATAGTTATTTATAAATTAATAGAAAATAAATTGTTTAACCTAAATAAAAATTATGTATCGTATAAATTTGAGTAAGGAATATTTAAGAAATATTTTTTAATGCAATTAAGTACTGAATTCAAATATTTGTAAATTATTTTTTTTTCATTTCAAGATAAGATTAAAATAGGAGAAGATTAATGTTTGTAATTGATTATTTCAATAAGAATTGTAAACATCTCTGAAACTAGTATAATATTAAATTTTTAGGTTAAAAAAAAAATGGCTGATTATGTATTAAATCTTATTTATCCATTTAAATAATTAATTTAGAAACTAAAAATGTTTTGATCAACAGCAGTATGTCTCAAATTATGTTTGAAGAAGGATTGCATCATAAAAACAGATATGAATCAGCATTTATAATTTTTGAAGATGTATATTTTTCATTGTCAAATTGTTAAGATGATCACTGTAGGTTTTGCATGCATGTTTGAATCTATTAAGCTACATAAATATAATTTGAACATAATTAGTGAACATAATTTGTATAATTTGATGTTGATCTCATAATTTAAAATGAGATACAAATTCAAATTGATTTGTAAAAGTATTTTAAAGTGTTATATTTTTTTGATTTTTATCATTAGAACCAGTACTCCTTAGAAATTTTCTTTTGATTTCTGAACCACTTGAATCAAATTCAACAATTTCTAGCAAAGCATAAACACTTAACATTAGTTTTCATAAATAATAAATTTGAAAAAATCAATTGATTAATAAAAAAAAAAAACAATAATATTTTAAAAATAAGAAGTTAAATAGTTTGTAAATTAACAAAAATTAATGATGATAATGAATAAAAAAAATGTGTTCTTTGTTGAATTATATTTTAAAAAATTGTTTTTAAAATGCTTGTATAATTAATAGAACCAAAAAAAAACAAATTTAAACAAATTTCCTTTGTCATAAATGTAATTTAATTAAGTATATTAAAGTAAAGTTATATAACATATAAAATTTAAGTATGAATTATTATGAAAAATAATGCAATTTACATTTTTGATAAATATTGAAATCAAGTTATGAAAAATAATTATTAACTCTTTTAAAATGATGACAATTAGTAGCTGTTGGCTGACAACTATAAAAGTTCAAGGTTTTGTACTCATTTTTAAATGTTGTTTAGTTTGGTAATTAATTTGTTTATTACGGTAATTGTATACCTACATTCACCATTTCAAGTAACATATTTGAACAAATTAAAATGTGGTCAAAAAATATTCCAAACATACATTAATAAACAAATAATTTTTTTCATTTCAGAATACTTCTAATTATGCTTCAGTTAAATTTTTAATGATAAACTTAAATAGTTTATTATTTTTATTCAAAAACAATGCTGACATTAATAATAAAGAAATGTGAAATTAAAATTGGGAAAAATATATAAAACGATTTTAATAATAAAAATATAGGCACATGTTTTTTAATATAATAAACTTTAAACTATGAAATAAACAAAATTAATCATTTTATTTAAGGTTTGATTCACTATTCTTGTATAAAAAGTTATAAAAAAAAAATTCAAAACGTTTATAAAGTTTACTTACTTCGTTTTCATAGTTATTGACTTTGCGGTTGTTCTGATTTTGAGATGAATTCAGAGTCTAAATAATAAAATAAAAATATTTAATATTTTGTCGGATTGGGTTAGGCTCGTGATATTCGTGTAATATGCTTATGTAATATTCATTAAACCCTTCATAAAAAGTCACAAAAGAAAATAAGTAACTACTATCACATATATCCTGCTAATAAATAATAAACTTACTTTTTTCCATAATACAGTTCTTAAGGTATTAACATTATTATTTATCTTTGGAGCATTTGCTTTAACCAAATTATTTACTCGTACTAGTCTATTGGTGTAATAATCTTCAAATACTACTTTTGGATCTTCATAAGCAATATAGTTAATGTCAAACCATTCTTGAAACACCTTTAATTAGTAAATTAATATATATTTTACTTAAATAATTAACAATTTAGTTTAAAAAAAAATAGTATACAATGATAACCCCATATAGTAGAAAACGTAATCTTTATAAGAAACAATATCAATGTTACTGTCAATGTCAATCATAAAAATTATTAACATTAGTCCTATTTCTAAAATTGATTTAGCACACCTAACCTTGACCATAGTTTGGTATTTATTTATCAATAGAACCATTTAATTTGATATAAATTTGATAATATATAAAATATGATTAAATAATAAATAATTCAGCGTTCTTAAAATAACTTATGAATACTGATTTATTCTATCTAGCAATTCCAAGAAATTAGTTGTTAATTAATGCCATTCAAGAATAGCATAGAACATCATAAATAGCAATTCATTTCTTAAAAATGAAGCGGAATTTAAACATTAAACTTCAATATTTTTTTTATTTTTGATACAGATTTAAGCATATTTATTTATATTGTGTCGACATTAAACATTTCAAAAATTATCAAATAAGTGATTTGCACATGGACGGCACAATTTATTTAATTAATTAAATTACAACTTAATTTGTGTGGTGGGTGAATTTAAGTCTAGTATTTTTTAGTATCTTAACTTAATAAATATGTACATAATAAAGTTCATGTATTAGTTAACTTTGGAAGACATAGCAACAAAACCAGTTATTCGGGTCTTATACAGTAATAAGTAGGTAATATATTTTGATTTTTTTTTCTAAATAAATAATTGTTTTATATTATAACTCGTCCATTCATCTTATGCATTGGCTACAGTTACAATTTCAAAAAATCAGGGGGCCAAAGACCACATTAAATTGAAAAAAACATCATAATATGCAAAGTTACATCAATTTAAATGTATTGAAAGAAGACATAACCTTAAACTACTTGACAAGCAATGAGTGTATGGAAAGTTGTAAAAAATAGAGTATGTGAGTGTTTTTGCTTACTCGTTTTATCAATAGTTATGGTAGTGCGTGTTGGTAGAGGTAAGATAGATATTATTTAGCTTATTGTATTTTGTCATGATAGAATACATCACTATGAAATATTTTACTGCCAATTGTAATGCTGTTGTATGGTGCATAGTTCTTGTCTAGTAGTATAAGGTCCACGAGGATAGGCAACTTATTAAAAAGTAACCTATTATTAGGTATTGATATAAATTTAGTAACTAAAAATTGGTCATTTTCATACAATATTATTGAAAGTGGCTACACTGACGTTTAAATAGATAATAATTGTAACCCAACACTTTCATAGGTTAGTCGATGCCCAAGATGAACTAGACGAGTTATAAATGCACGATTAAATTTAAGGATTTATCCACTTTAAATCCAGTTGGATGTAACAAATATAATTCAAAATGTATATTTTTCTATGGTTAAATTAGTAATTTGAATAACCATATAATATTATAGTCTGTTTAATTATAAACATTGTGTTTAAGAGGACACTTAATCTGTATCGGTTGTTTCCATCTTAAAAAATAAAATGCATAACATGGCAAAAATATGTTCAGCAGCAGAAGCTAAATATTTTAATAGTTACAATATTAAAATTAAAATTACTGTTTATAAAGTTTAATGATAGAATTATAATTTTTGTTGGATTTTAGAATAATTAAATCTTAAAGGAATTACTAAGTTTTTTAAATTACAATAAATTATACCTTGCACATTAAACTAATAACTGGACTTAAAATTAAAACATCAAATAAAAACCAACACTACAACACAAATAATGTTCTTACTTTTATACTTAATAATTATTATTGAAAATTCAATAATATTATAACTTAATTTGCTCAACAGAACATACATTTGTTATGTTAAGCTGATTTAAAGATTGATACAATAAATACAGCTGTCCTCTTAATACATGTTTTTTTATTACAATACAAATTTGTTTTCAAAGATAACAGATTTTGTTACTGTCTTCATAATGATTGACTTATTCATATCGACTAGAATATTGCAGTATAATATACAAACCAATTGGAGCATGTAATTAAATTGAAAAAAATTGTAAAGATTGTTTAAAAACATAGGAGAAACGCCATACACAAATTTGTTCCTTCTGAAATAATACATATAATACCATTGTTAATGTATATATATATATATTATATACAATAAACCATTTACCTGAAATATGCAAGACGAGGTGATAAATCCAATATATCAGTTACTTTTCTCAACTCATCCAGATAAACACTTCCTCTAGGGCTTGTAAATATATATTGAAATGCTTTCAAAAATTGGTGTAAGCGTGTATGATTATGTGGTGCATATAGATTCAAATAAAGATGACAAAACAATGGTAGACGGAGATCTCTGATACAGTCTCTTTCGATGGCATATTCCTTCACGTGAGAAAACCATACTTCAAACCTAAACAAATATTTAATTAATAAAATCGTTTAAGCATTGATTGTGATATTCGTGTAATGTTTAATTTACGATTCAAATTCCAGTTCAGCTCTCATTATATTATTTTTATCAAATACTCGATCAATCCCCAATGTTCTAAAATTGTTTTCAACAAACTTCAAATTCACATATTCTATAACTGGTTTGCTGGATAAATGAATGTATGGAGTTTCCTAAAAAAAATTAATATTACATTAAAAATGAAATAATAATCAATAAATAACAATTTTTAATCATATTTAGAAGTTAAAATTATTACAGATTGCCACCAGCAGAGGACAGGTATTAGCTGGGAAGTGTAGCGGGAAGAAAAGAAACAGAGGACATCTTATAGACAAAGCTGTGCTACAGTATTACCAGTGCCATATACCTCCAATAAATTAGGACTGTTTAATTATACCTGATCAATCGATTTGATCCTAGATTTGGTCCTATACATATTATTAAAATTGCGTCTAAGAGATACCATAGAAGTGTCATGAACATTTTTAATTATGACTTACCTTCTTAGTGCTGACACCAATATTCTAAATTATTTAAATTCTGCTCTAAGTATAACACTTTTGTCTTTTACGGTAGATAGGTACCTACTGATATATTTCACTACCACCTATGGGACAACTATGGTTGACAGTGGCGCAATAACCTGGTGTGTTATGGTGTCAAACGCGAGGACCCCAGTATATAATGATGCTCAGTGATAAAAAATTGAAAAATATGTAGGAAGAAAGAAAATAAAACCATTTTGTTATAACTATCAATGAAAATAGAACAATTGATGGATTTTGTTTTGTGCACATTATCGTACATCAATGTTTCTTTAGCTACAACAGGTTCTCCTGCTATAACCTGTACCTTTAACCAAAATCAAAAATAGTTTTGTTGCAATTGGTTAAAGCCACCGAATGCAAAAGCAGCGAGTCAATCAAAGGATTGACCGAATCAGCGCAGTTGCAGGTTGAACTGTTTTTTACACCTGCCAAACAACCAAAACGATAATCATGGTTAATCGCAAATGTCACTAAACATAACACAGATCGGGGCACTGTGACGGAGAGGACGGAGAAAAGCGGAAAAACGAAGGAGGAAAGCAACGACGACCCACATCCCACCGCCGCCACCAACCGCACCAACAACAGCCGTCAGACGGCCTGATATGGCGCAATCGTCGCGGGCATACTCACGATCAAGTTCCTCTCAAAAGAGTACATGCCCACCGCGATGGTGAACGTAGACCCGGACCTCTCGTATTCGTCTTCCGACGACATGTCGTAGTCGTCGTCCATCATGGACCCGCCGAAATCGCAGTCACCGTCGGTGGGACCGTCGGCGTCTGGGCCTGTCGACGTGCCTGCGCTGGAGGCACCGGCGCTCCGGGACGTGGACGGCTCGGCGCGCGGCAAAAATACGGACGGCGCGGGGACGGCCGACGTCCGCGGGCTGCCGTCCGGCATGGCGGTCGTGGTGACCGTCGTCGGGCGACCGCCCGGCGTTTGGGCCAGCGCGAAGTGCATCGCGACCAGCTATGGACCCGGCTACCGGTTAAGCGCTAACCGCGGGGCTCGAATCCAATTGTTTCGACGACCGACGGACCGGCCTGTTGCTGTACAACCGAAAGACGCCGACGTACGAGTGCACAACGTGCGCGCGCGCTTTGCGGCAACCGACGGAGTCGCGCCAGTCGCGGTACGGGTGATAAAAGCACGGAGGCAACGCACGATCGATAGGAGCCACGCGCGCGCGCGCGCTGTTGCTCACAATTGCGTTCGCGGCGGCGGCGGCGGCGGCGGCGGCGGCGGCGCACCGTACGGTACGTTCAGGTTGTTTGGTAGTTGGTCGTTTCGGGTATCCGACTGTTGTAGTAGACGATTTATCGTAGTCGTCCGACGATTGCAGCGACGCGGGAAAAATCGACAAACGTGCGCCGTGATAAGGACGCCATGGGACGTGTGATGATAACCACTGATGATGTTTGTTGTAACTTTGTACACATTAAGCAGACGACTTGTTGGTGCATTAACATTTAACATTACTGTGCGTGCAGTGTTGGGTATTGACGTAACGCAATTACTTTTTCAGTTACTCGACTGTATTTTCATTACGTTTCACTTGGAGTAACGCCATTGTGACGAAATGTCTTTTTTAGAGTAACTTTTATTAAATATAACGCACTGAATCGTTATTTTCCACGTCACTAAAATAATAGTTCTGAATGTATTACAAAGACAAGCCGATTGCCGATAGGATATTCCAGAAAAAATTAAAAATCAATTATATATATTTTCGATTCCGATAATAGTTGCCAATATTATTAAACATTCCTGGAATTAATGTTATTACCTTATCAGTAGACAAAAAAGAGTTCGGTTTAAAAATTAAATTAAATTAAAATGATTATGATTTATGATTTATGTACATTGCAACATTTAATTTCACTAACTTATAGACATAGGTGTAGTTTGAGTTTACATTTATACAATTAAATTGAACTATAATGATTGTACTTATATATTTTGTACATTGTAGGTATATTATCACTAGGCCAATGATTGTAAAATACATACATAATAATTGAATCATATAAATTGAATATGATTTTAAAAAATGACAATTAAACTGTTATCAGTCTTAAAAAAGTAACTTTATTTGTAACGCACTACTTTGTTAATGAAAAAGTAATGTAACGTTATAAAAATAATTTTAAGTAAGGCATATAATTTAAATAAACATATTTTAGGTACCTAACGAGTAACGAGTAACGTAATCTTATTACCTACTTTTTATAGGTAATGTACCCAAAGTTTTTGGAAAGAACGTCATTCACAAATTCACGTTCACAGGTTCACGATCATATTTTAATGAACAATACGCAAATGTCACTCGTTTTTTTCAAATTGAACGTGAACGACGTTTATATTTTAATGAATTTGAACGATTTTTAAGACGCTCAATTTATTAGGAATCTGATAATTATATGTTTTAAATACATTGATTAATTGTATTATATAATAATATTTTCTTATTATAATTCCTATTGCAAAAAAAATTAAATGAATGACCTAGTGTAGTGAACGCATTCATTTTTCAATGAACTTGAACAAGTTCCCTTTTTAAGGACTCCGAACACTACTTACCGATACACGTCCACGGTGAATACCTTATACCTAAGTGGATTTTTTAAATAGTATAAGTTATACCTCATTAGTATATAAGGTCTATGTGTGTACACGATGCATTCAAGTGGATAATAAACTTATAATCGATGGTGATAACAGTATATTGTAATATAGCACAGATAGGCCATAAATAGCAAGGAATAAACAGGCTAGAGAACAGAAAGCATAGTCCCAAAATGGTCAGACATTTTCCCATGTCGAGATATTCTTATTTTTTCGTTATTTATTATTTTTTTCGTTTTATTGTTTATTATATGTCCATGGATAATAAAAAATATTATCTATTTATTATCTATGATACCTTTAGGGATCAAAATGCCCTTTAAATTTCTGGAAATATACGGCCATTTTCGGAAAGACACCACTTACTTTTCCCCCAGAACTTTAGAAAATATAGAAAAATTGGAGCATATTCAAATAATACCTTTCCGAAAAAAACAGTTTTTCAAAAATTAAAAAAAAAAAAAGAATTTTCGGGAAATTAAAAATTAGTAAAAAAAAATAATTAAAAACCAGTCACTGTAGTCATTTCACATATTATGTCAATACGGCGTATGTATCATTGTATTAACTATTAATACTGATATTTTAATATTATTGGTTCTGAAAATAACGGTGCCTATAAAATATTTATGTGGAATATTGTATTTTCTAGAAACCTTTTGTTTTATGATTACTAACTATCATTGGATTGTTTCCACTTAACATTTCATTTTAAATAATGAAAAAAAAATTTTTCTAAAAAACCATTTTTTCGTGGAATTTTCCAATTTTTCAAGAAATTTTACATGGAAACAAATTTTTCCAAAACAAACAAGAATAACCCCGAGTTGTTTTAGAAAAAAGCTTTTTTTTTTAAGAAATTTTGACTCTTAAAATAGCATCATAGACCTGCTTATACCTACTAGTCTACTACTATATACAAAAACTGTGCACCTAACACCATGCGGACTATGAACTGAGTAACAATATCTCGCAGTAAAGTAGATTATTTTTACCAAAAAATACTATAATCTATGGATCTATTTATCTTACACTGCTACCCTTCGGCCTTCACTACAATTATAATGGTCAGAGTAATCGAGTAATCAAAAAAGCGCTATACACTCATTGGTTGTCTAGTAATAGGTACCTATAAGGTCCATGAATAGCACCGAACTATAATATCCATATTGAAAAAATAAACTGTAAACGTTTTTCATGCTGCGACTATAGGTGATCGAACACTACATGTACTGAATTATTTTCATTATAAATTTGGAATTGTTAATTAGATATTTTCTAGCCAATAGTCGTGTTCACAACTTGAAATTCCGCATCTATAACGGTCAGTACGATAAAACTAATATATTTTGTTCAGTAGGTAACTAATTTAGTAATTTATTAATCGATAACAATATTGTCGATGAAGAGGGGCTTGGCGAGCGACTCGTTGAAGTTGGGTATCATAACAATTATTAGTGTAACAATGCCTGAAAATAATAAGCTACAACATTTCAGCAATGTAAAAATGGTAATTATCCATGCGCAATCATACGTTATCGTTCTTGATTATTAATTAATAAATCATTTAATCAAAAACTTGTAAATTGTCATAATTTTTCAATTTTTTTTTAATTACCTATTGATTATTTCTAAATGCCTAATAATTATAATTTGATATTTCGTCGATATTTATCTTTGAGTGATAAAATCAATGTAAAGAAAATAGGCCCATAACTTAGAAGTTAGAAAAACTAGAAAGTAGTGAACGACGTCATTTTTGATAACCTGCATTAGATAGTAGATAGACTGAATACAGGTTTTTAAGGGCTAAAAAAAGCATTTTTTTATGTATGGATTTTTAAAATGTTGCCTTAAAGTATTAATGCACTTGGTTTACACTGCCCTGGCAACCTGAAATTCATTATTTTTTTTCCAAAAGCTCTCCAGGGTACATCATTATCTATACCCTGATGAACATATTATTATGTATTTAATTGAATCCCCTCCTCTGACTGTTCTATAGTATTATTTTTTAGTGCATACAATTTTTTTTTTAAGTTATGAGATTTTAACATGAGTAGGTATTATAATATCTCGACTAATTAATATGAATATACAATAACCATTAGGTACATATCAATTGGTAAAACTCACACAACTAGATTTGAAGGCCACATTGAAGTATAAAATTAAGTGTATACATAATTATACTGATGTTATAAGTAGAGTGTTGATGAGGAAAAAGTTGATACCAAGAGTTTAAAAGTAAAACTTTAACCGAGTTCTTTGGTGAGAGAGAGAGATGGGCAATTGAATGCATAGTAGTATATCTGTATATATATTACCTACATATATAATATCTATACCTATGTATAATTAAACATTTTTATAGTATACTTGGGTGTTGGCCGTTTGGTGGTTTATAATGCATACTTATAAATCCAGGATATATATGTATATATAATATATAGTAGGTACTTAATTAATATGTAAGTACCTACTACCTATCAATTATCAAATTCTATAATAATTTGTATAGGTGGATACACATAACGTATAATATAAAGCTGCTTTGATCTTTATATGGGTACCCAATACCCATTATAATATTGTTCACTTTAAGGCTTAAGTATTTAATATTATAATTTAATATTTTATTTGATATTTGATTCGATAAATACAATAATATTATCAGACGGAATAAATCAAACAGCTGTTATCAGTACCTATCAATAATTATTAATTATAATGTTGGCCAATAAAGGTAATGAGTAGTGACAATCTATAGAGAAGCTTTAAACTTTTTAACTTTAAAAGTATTTAATACACTTAATTTAATAAATATATTACCTATATTATAGAATAAAACTATTAAATATAATGGTTTTTAAACAAATTAATATTATATTAAATTTTATTATATTATAAAATATATTAAATTTTATTATATTATAAAATATATTATATTGTTTTAATAATCTTAAATCCATTGGAAATGTTTATGTTGTTCATTTTATTCTAACTGTAATATAAAATTATCAAAACCTTTTAGATTAATATTTTCTCTGTAGTATTAAATTTCAATATCTCAATTTTTATCCGTCGTCGAAAGGCCTCAACACTTATTATTATCGTCATTCATCTCTTCGCTCTGCGCCATTTCTATCCGGCGCACGATCTTAATGATCTTCTTGAAACGTCTGAAGCACGCGTCATAGACATCAATGAGCATTTCGATCTGATCCGGTGTGCCGGTGGTGTGGTTCACGTCACTCACCAAAAATGTAAGCTTACCGGCCAGATACTTCGCCCCGGCGGCGGCGGCGCTCAGTCTGAAAACCAACTTAAGTGTAATAGGTTCCCAGTCGTTAACAGGTTACCTGTTTTCTAGTTTGGTAGTTGGGGGGGGGGGGTATAATTTTGTAAGATTCAATTAAATGATAAAAATACATTTTTGAAAACTGATGTTTAATTTATCAAAGATAAAGGTTATCTAAAAAGTTTTTTGAAATTGTATTGAAAATAAATAAATAAAAACCAAATAATAACGAAACAAATATGGGTATAATTAATTTAATAATACAAGTAAGATATTGAATTGAGAGTTTAATATAATAACTACGATGTAGGTAAATAAGTTGAAATGCATATTTGTAACAACACATATTTTTTTCACCTAAATTTGATTTCGGGCCTTCGGTGGTCGGTCTGCTGCAGGCACCTTTCCAACAACTGACGAGTCTCGAGCACCTGTTTGACGAGCATCAATACTCCATACGCGATTTTGTGTACGGGTACCATGACCTCGTGACATGGGCAGCATTGATAACTGTTGCTGTAATATGACTGTTTGTGTAGTGTATAATATTAGCTATTTTATCTTGACATTTTAGCGTGAGTGGAACGAAATCGTTTTGAAAAAGTCACCCACATGTATTGGGAGTCGCATCTAAATTTTCTTCAAAATAATTTTATGTAGGGATAGATCTACGGTGTTGTGTATCATTAATGTGAATAATAACGCAAACGTAAATTATAGTCTTTTATTGTCAAACATATAAATCGTATTGTTGTATTATGAAATTATGTGCTGGCTACTGTTCGATTGACAATCCCCACCGATCGTAATATGATACTTATTATTATTAATGGTTAAACACTACGTTTCTTATATTATATAAATGCTGAATATGCAACATACGGAAATAAAGGGGATACCGTAAACAAAATACTAGTATTATTCACCTATAAACCATATAAATGTAAAGCACTGATCGTAATTTAAAAATTGATAAACCATCGACTTTGAGAAAGAGAAAGACTTAACATCTACCCTAATCTAGAAAAAAATACAATTTTTTTTATCTGAACATATGATGCGAATAATAATATAATAATTAGAACACAATTAGTACTTGTTAATACTTATTTTTAAATCGTGTGGTCAGTTTAAACTTGTCTTGTAAGTAGATGAAATGTATATAACAATATGAGCAGCTTGAAAGAAATATGTATATCTTATCAGAAATACCTGAAAACCATAAGGTATTAACTATCTTTTTAATATTAAAAGCTTAATAATATATTCAAGTTAATTTCATTTTTAAATCTCTTTCAAATCAGATTTTAAGTCAATTGACTCTTTTAAAAATGAATATATTTAATTTTATGCTTGCAAAAATTTAAATAGGTAAGTTAATTGACAAAATCAAGTATAATTTGATGAAAATTCATTTAAAAATCTATAATTATTTATTATTTTAATAATAACCCATCTACTTCAGTTTTTTCCAGTTAGATAGTGAATATCGTATGACAATATATTATTATATAATAATGAAATATATATATTGTAGCCTATAGGGTGATTTTTAACCATGCTTGCCCCTATTTTTCATTTAATAGAACATTTTGAAATATTGTGTAAATACAGATTTATATATACTTATAAGTGTGACATAGAGTGACTTTTTTACTCACCATCATCTTATATAATATGGCATTTAAAGCCCACACGAATATTGCATATGGTCTTACACCAAATTGCAGCTTACCGGTGCAAGTAATCTATTCTTGACGTGTTTTGGATAATCCGCACTCGTCTGCAGTTTACACAGCTTGTCCACCATAGAATTATAAGCACTATATTCTTTCATTGACATACAACTTTCACCCCATTCAGTATTCTGTGATTCAATCATAGGCTGATCATTGTTGATGATCAATGATATATTGTACATAAATCATTAAAATAATACATTGCTATAAGTTTTTAATTTTGCATGAGAATTTAAATTTTGAGTTTTGAGTAAAAAATAAATGCATGAGGTTCCTATCTAAAATAATTTGTTTTTGCTGTAGGTTAATAATTATAGTAAGTAAGTTTCATATTATGCAAGTCAAAATAATAAGCTTAAATTATATATACCGGAAGTTTCGTCTTTTTTTTAACATGTTTTATACTGCTTTTGGTGCTCATCTGTTGGCTCTTGCCGGCCGTTAACTTGTAAGTAGACACCGTGTCGGTACATGTCTATAATAAATAGTATTCCTTAATTATTATAATATGTAGTCATGTAGCCATGTAGGTATCTATGTAACTCAAAATCAAATATACCGGAAGGTTCGTCTTTTTCGGAACCCGCTTTATGCTACATTCGGTGCTCATCTGTTGATTTTTTTCAACCTCTGGCTTGTACGTAATTACCGTGTCGGTACATCTCTAAAATAATTTTTTTTGATTTACCTTATTATATTTAGCCATCAGAACCAAGCCGGGGGGGGGGGGGGTAATGGGGCAAGTGCTCTAGTGCAACAATATATCTAGATGTAACATTTTGAAACACGACACATTTTTAAGTATATGTATATTTAATAAGGGTGCAAACATTATTACCCCGGGGCGCCAATGGAAGTTAGCAAAGCACTGGTACCCATGTAAGTGAAAACCATATGTACCGGAATTTCCTTCTTTTTTGCAACACATTTTTTTATGCTTTCGGTGCTCATCTGTTGATTGTTGTCAGTCGCTGACTTGTGCTTAACCGCCGGCATGTCCGTTGATTGATCGATTGTCTGACTCGAAACGCCACTCTGCAAGTCCACTATTGTGGTGTCCGGCTGAACGTCTACAACAACTTCGTCGTATTTTATTATATAATACGTATACGGTATACCTTGTGGCTATAGTGTTAATAAAAGACTTTGGACTATTGAATACTAATGTGCATTGCTTCTTATCTACGTTTATATTCAAATCACACCTTGGACATTTAACGGAAAATCGGCAGACAGTATTTTATCTTTTCACTGCCTTTTTTGAGTGGAACAATACATTAGCTTTAAGTATGTATGATAAACCTACTCGAACTATGACTGCTCGTCTGTTGGCTTTTTTCCGCTGTTGGGTTGTATGTGACCGCGGATGTCCCCGTTGACTGATCGATTGTCTGACTCGAAACATTGCCATCCTGCAAGTCCACAATTGTGGTGTCCGGCTGGACTTCTACAACAATAGATACTTCATCGTGTTATACATAATAGGTAATTAATTATACACATAGACTAGGTACTGTAGGTAGGCACTCTTTCCTCTCTGCAATATTATTTTTCTAGTCACGCCTTCGAAATTTGACAGAAAATCAGAGGACATCATTTTATCTTTTAAATACAATTAATTATGTAAAATAATGTCGTCATGAGGATATACTTAGTGAAGTTTTCTATGCTGTTCGAAAGTTATGTCCTCGAAATTCAATAGTAGGTACATCGATACTCGATTGTATATTCTTACTTCAAATCTTATATAACTATACAGACGTGAAAGCATTCACCTTTTAAATTTTAAATTTATATTTAAAAAAATTATATTATTATTTAATTTTTGTAAAATTGTTTCATTATAATGCATCTTAATGAAATAATGTTGTATGATTCTAATTCCTGCGATATACCATATACCTGACCTCACTACCTCGTAAGCATATATGAATATATAATATATTTAATACTTAGTGATAATTTAAGATTGTAATTTATAATATCTCCATAAGTTATGGACAATAATATATCAATATACATGAAAACTTACGAATATTACATACCATCAACAATTGTAGGTGCATCCTTGGGTTGTATTTCAGCTTCATCTTCGCTGACCTCTGTCTTTATCTTGCGCAAACTCAACAACATTCGATCTCTGCAATCCCACAATGATTCGGCGTCCTCAACGGCTACATCTCTCGACTTATTCTTCACATAATCGCCAGATACTCGATCACTAAAGTTACTTGCGTACGACGATTCAGAAGAATTGGTTTGGGGTTCTTTCTTCCTGAATATGTTTAAAAACGACATTTTCCTCCATACATCAATAATTTAGTAGGTACGTAAATAAGATTTTTTTATTTTGATTTACAATTTAGTATTTTAACATTTTGTTTCCAAGGTAACCTTTGTCCTTAGACAATTAACTATTAAATCTTAATATCTTTAGGTGAGGTTCTCAATGAAAGATGTATAATGTAGAGGTCGTATCAAGTATCAACTACCTAGTGAGATTATAAAATGATCTCTTCAATTTGACATCGAGTAATTTGTTTCACAATGTGATCGTTCACTTAGTAAAATAAAATACTTACCACACACAATAAAATCTTATTCATAATAGTAATTATTATTATTGATTTATTTATTTAACACACCATACACGATTTTATACACATACATGTATATTGTATTTATTTAAATATCATTTAAGTTTTACAATCCCTTTGCAAGAACACCTTAAGAAGCCTGACTTCCTGATACAACTTGAAAAGTTACAAGCAAATAATTATAGATTATTCATTAAATAATTAAATAATCTATATACAATTACCAGGATAATCCGAAATGTGTAGATTTTATTTTTATATGACGTTGTATTCAAGTGTAACTATGTAAGGTACCAATAGTTTCTCAGTTGATATATTATATTAAATCACATTCCATTCTATATTCACACATTTAATCTATGTTAATATTTTTTATTCATAGTTCAATATTTTAAACATATGCTATTACAAATTGTATTTCAACTGAACAAGTCAGCAAACGAAAACCATTGGCTTTGCTTGAAATTGTTCAAATTTTTGAAATTGTAGGTACTTGAAGGAGGATGGAGTTCATGTAAATCCAAATGATATGCTTGTTCTATAGGTAGGTAAATATTAAGATAATATGTAGCATAATAAAATGAATAACAGCTGTTGTTAAATCTCATTATTCTACTTAAAATCCCTTAAATAAACAAAATCAAAACAATTATTATTAGTAAGTGCATCATACTTATAAAAACTTCTTACTTTCAATTTTTTAAATAAAATTTTTTTAAAAATAAATGTTACTTTGTTTGTTTAATATGATTAAGCCAAATATTCACAAATATTGAAATACTGAATATTTACAATTTAAATGTTTAAAATCTTGTATAGTATCAAAAATTAAATGAATAGTTAGATCATTTGAAAGTTGATTAGAATATGTTTTTAATTGTTAAGTTGAAAAGCTATAAAAAATTAATTTTTAAACTAGTTACAGCCCACCATACCATTTTGATGTTGGACGGGGAGAAAAAACTCAACAAATTAAATACATAATATTAAACTATGGTAAATTTTCTTCTACCTTGTCATATTTACTCCTACCAATGAAAACAAAATAATGGGGTTTTTACATTTTTTGTGACATGATTTTTGGATACATTAACAACATTATAAAACACAAACAGGGTTTACCACTATAAATTGTAATAGTTATTAATGGGGATTTTTATCACAGATTATTAATTTAAATATTTTTTCATATTATGTATAAAAAAATAATAATAGAGATTTGTAGATTTGAAATTACACAAAATTCACCAAGAAAATAAATTTATGTTTATTAGTTTGTATGTGTAATGTGTATCGGTGAGTCAGTCCCTTGAATTAACTGATGGCCTAGAGCAAATAGTCCTTTAACAAAATGTCTGGATGTTGTATTTGAAGCATGTGCTGACTCTGTGCAGAATACTCATATTGAACGTCGGGCAGTGTCAACAATGGGCAATTTCTGTTCTCGGTTTTCGTCTCATTCTTATTATATGTTCATGATCTCATTGTTATTTTTGCTTTTATTATATTATACTCTTAAAGTATAACGTTGTATCTACAGATTGTATATTACCTTATTTAAAGAAAAAATTAGTATGTTGCAGGAATGCAGTGTGACAATTATTTATTATATAGTCATACAATATTGGTGTGGTTAAACATGTTTTAATTTTTTTAAATAATAAACCTACCTTTAATTAATACAAAAATAGTTTAGGTAAAAAAAAATTGATATTTGATATAGATATCTACTATAATTATACTATGATGGCTTAGGTTTCTACATCTTCATGCACATAGAAAAGAATGGAAACCTTATATCCTAATTCTAATTATAATATTTAAGTATAGGTAATAAGACAGTAGGTATACCTATCTTCATAGTAGTTAGACTTATTCACTTTTTTATAATATTAATTTTACTTGTTATATTTGATTATAGATGCTGATTATAAATTTTTAAATACGTACACATTTTCAGATTTTCTTAAAAACAATATTTGATAAAGATAACTTTAACTCCTTTCTACCGTTCGCTTATGCATTCAATTCATTGACGTAAACACTTAGATATAAACTATTAAAATGTATACAATAAATAGCCTAACCTAACCTACGTAAATAAATAATCAATAATCGACAATAATGTAACACCGTATGGATGTGACAAGTATAATAAATCACATAACATACAATGTATTCAGGCTAAGAGACACCTACACTACAACTAAAAAATTTTTTCAGCAGGATATGGAGTTTTCGAGGGATAAACATTTTACACCCTTTTGATACGCACAAAACAAATGATTTTTTTAATTTTTCCACATATTCAGATATATCTACTAAAATTAATTTTTATAAGTAAAAAGCTCTTGTCAATTACAAAATTAACAAAGTTGGAATAATTTGAAATTTACGAATAATGAAGCCAATCATTTGTTTTAAAATTCCGTTTTCAATATTTATTCTAATTTTACAAAAACTATAAACTTACAAAATTATTAATTTATATTTTTTTCAATAACTGTTGATAAACAATTTTTTGCTCGGCTCCATTCTATATATTTGTATAATACATTTAAATCTATTTGAAATATTAAAATCACATGGGCATGATTTTTTTATAAACATTTGAAGTTCAAATTTTGACAAAATTCATCAAAATCGCGAACATTTGTGAAGAATTTTCAATTTTTATAGATATATGACTTGAAATAAATACAAGATTCCTCGTAAAGTCATAAATAGGTTATTCTGAGATCTAAAAAACTAAAAAACGTTAACCTGATTTTTTTGTACAAATTTGAAGTTATAATTAGAATGAAATTAGGTACCTATTTAATCGAAGAATTATGGTTTTTATTGTAATTCAAAAATATTTTCCTTTTATTTTAAAGATTTTTAAACTTTTATTTACATATATTATTCTATTTTATATACCAAGTGATCTATGTTGTAGGTGTCTGCAATGATTACTTCGAAGAGTGTCTACATTTTTGAAAATATTTTAAAACAACATTTTTATTATTTTTTAAGTTCTTACGTTTTTAAATATTATTTGGAATATTTTAGTTTATAGAAGTCAAATTTCGGACAATTAGATATCTAGCTAGTTCAATAGTTCATTTTAGTTATAACTTACAATAATTTAAAATTTGAGCACATGTCCGCAAAATGTTGGTCACTACTAAACTAGCTCTTTAGAAGGTTACTCTCTGCTCCTATACACTTTAAATACTTATAACTGATGAACTAATTGTCTGAAATTAAATTTGTATACATAGAAATACTACAAATAATATTCTGCTCCGGAACATGGATAAGAATGAATAACTAAGAATGGAGTAACTCGAAAAAGTAAAAAATAAAATTTATACTCAGAAATGTTATTTTGAAATGGTAATTTGATGTTCTATATTTAATTATTAAGGCCTCTACTCTATCCTCTGCCCTATGGTATTGCTATTGCATCGTATTAATTGACCAGGTAAATGATAAAAGCAATTATTTTTGTTTTTGACACCCATTTCAGTAATTATTTTAATGGCTTAATCATTTTTTATTTGATTGATAAAAGCCTTGAACTTGTTTTGTAGTTATTTATTTGAACATCGGCGATCGGCGTTTATACTAATGATTATGCAATTTTAAAATGTATACCGCTGTCCGCTGTATACGTCAATACTTTAAGCACATACATAAAAACCGACCAGACGACTAATTCAGTGGCGTCATTTGCGAGGGAGGAGGGCGATGAGGTCATTTTCGCCTGTCTGATTTTGAAAAAGGGCCTATGCCTACGGTTTTTGTCCTATAACCATTCATATTTTTTGGTGAAAAAACATGCCATTTTTATAATATTTTGAGTAGATACTATATTGTGAAAGTACGAAGAAATTATTGTCACAATGATAAAATATTGGTACCTTATTAAAAGTTAATAGTTGGAATATATATTTATACGTATATTATAGACGCACGGGGACACGCAGTGTCAATTGGTGTGTGATGAGTGGAACATATTATTATAATAATATATAATTGTATGATTGTATATATTGTACAAAAAAAAAATAATATCATAATCCTATGACCTTATATGGACATATATTATGTCTATATGTTACCGCCAATGATGATAATTAGGTATTGTTAAAAATGACTAGTCTATGTTAACACTGACTGTTTTACATAGGTATTGATATTATTGGCTAGTCTTTTTAGAGAATACCTAACTAAGATAGACAATCATAGAACAAATTTAATATTAATACATAATTTCTATGATTGACCAGTCATTGTCATTATTGACTAATACTATGTAGCCATTGATAATTTTAGATATAATATAATATTATATTTACTATTTAAGAATAAACAATGAAAAAAAAATATAAGAAAAAATTAATTTTTTCATAATAATTATTATTTTAATACTTGTATGTTGATTATTGATTATGACGTATGGGTATCACTTATTCTCGCATGATAAGCTGTTATGGCATTTCGATGTACAAAGCGGTTATTAGATCTACAAGTACATTTATTTGTTTTGCATTTTGTTTTGCAGTGGCACCGTGCACAATGCATACAAAGACTTAAATATATCATAATAGTTTCCTTGGTAATATTAGAATATTTTGTCTTTAATTCATAAACCATGCGGTCCCTACCACCATGACCTATTGCAATGTGACTATCGTGTAAAATATCAAATAATTCGTCATTTGATACATAATAGTGTACATTTTCTGAATTATTACTTATAGATTTAATAAGTCGTTCTTGCCCATTGAGTGTTATTATATCATACTTACGAATGTATCTGTAATCCTTTGCACTTTTCTTCCCAATTTTTTCCTTAGGTAATTTAACTTCTTGCAATCTTAACATATATTCTTCTTTGTTTAAAAATGATTTATTATCTTCACGTTTATTTTTCAATAAATCAGATAATGCTTTGTAAAATTTTTGACGCATTTCATTTGAATTCATTTTTTTAATAAAACAATTCAACACTTTTCGAAATGAAAAACTATACAAAACTATAAACTATATTATACGAAAGTACAACGTAGACTGTAACAATACTTATGTTAGGTTAGTTGCCGTGAGTATTAAAACTATAAAAGATACCTATTATTATTCGTTATAAAACAGATACCTAATCTTAACGTGGGTTTTTAAAGTTAAAACGATAAAAGATAACATTGACTACACGACGATAGGATATGTTATAATAACTAGTGAATTTATCAAATTATAACATCGTCTGATTTACCAAGTCAATGTTACAAATATATGTTGTTTATAGATAATGACCAAGTTACCCAGGCATTATATTAATTGGCTAGTCAATATCATCATTACCTGAATTTACGACATTGACGGTAACATATATACTTTTATTTCTAAAATCAACAACCTCTCGGAACTCAATTGTTTTTATAAAATATCTGCCACTGCATGTTTATAAATTATTATGACAATGTCAATAAATAAAAAGTGTTTCGTTGTAAAGATTTGAGTAAAAAAATATCTTAAGTATAAAATGTGTAAAATGAAAATAGTAAATTGATAAAAAAGTAGGTAAGTAGAAATGTGCTTGCAATCTGTTTTTTAAGTTTAATATTTGGGCTGGTCAGTGGTCAGTAGT